CATTCTTTCAAAAGATCTGTTATAAAGGAGATTGTGGCTGAATGCAAAACCAAGTTAAATGAAATGAGAACTTTTCATAAAACACTAATTACACTAAGCATTTCAGATAAATTTTAGCGATGAACAATAACTGATATGTAATTCCAATCAGGTCAAATGGAGTATAAAACCAAAGCAATGAACAATTTAAAAATTATCTTCGGTTACTGAATAAGATTTTATTCCGGTAAACTTCTGATGATACTAAAAACAAATGAGGTTTAGAATGACAGAGTATTCAAATCCACTTTGACTACCATTGTGGTATCCAGTTATCTATGCTAGTTAGTATTATATGTTATAAGTATCAATGTTTGGATTGTTTAAAAGCTCGGCTTTCAATTATTATTCAGCTCGTTTGAGCTTCACTCTGTTCCAATAACCTTCATAGTAGGTGTGGTTCAAACATTATTATATCATTATATGTCTCATAAAACATTATTCTTGTAACTCACAGTATTAAATGACAGATTTTTATTAGGTAGAACCGTAGTTAACGAAAACATAAGTGGGAAAAATAAAATATATCTCAATACAAAATTACTGAATGTCTCAATAAAATCTGAGAACCATACAATAAATACTTCATTTGCAAAATGTCAATCAATCGTCTCAAACTTGACTTTCCCTTCGTTTCCAAATCAATCATTGTCTGTTCTCGTTCTATTTGTTTCTATCTTCTTAACCTTCTGCCACCAATCATTTCATTTTCGATTGTTGAGACATACTGCTTATATCTGTCGACATCAGTAGCACACACCACAGAATCACATTCTCCTGATAACCAATAAATATAACATTATCTAGAGTTATGAATATTAATGAATATCCTAGAAAATTCAAACTTCTGAACATTTTAACCTAGATCAGTGGTTGTCAGGCTGGCAACTCTTCTTATGGTATATAATTTTAAATAACAAGTATGTTGTGTTATGTTCTTGTGTCAGACATTAGATATAGTCAAACAACTGAATAGTATTAAGGACAAATTTTGTAAAAGATCGCTATCATTTCGAGCATCATTGCAAAATCGACCATTGCTAAATAACTGTTAGATCTAAGATTGCAACTCCTAAACAGTACATACACAGATAAAAGATCTCAAAGAGGATTAAATCTATGATCTTCAGGTAGTGTATCAAGTAGATTGGAGTGAGATCAATAAGTGTTCTGAAAATTCCATACTATACTCTCAATAATGTCATTAACCATAAGAAAGTTTAAAAAAAGTCAAGAACCAATCATCCATATTTTCAAAATAACGTAGTTTATGACTAGATTATCATTTAATTTATTTGTATACTCACCTGGGTTTCTTCTATATGGTGAGAATAAAAGTTCTTGAGACTTGTTCATGTTTGTAAGTGTTGAATATTATCAATCATATTTAGATATTCAGTGAACTTTTTAATAATTCAATCTTTCAATCTAGGATCATTAGTGGTCCAGATCAGGAAAATAAAAGATAGATCAGTTATTAGCATACATAAAAAAATGATATATTAAGATGTAACTGAAATCAAAATCAAATTATTTGTTTAAATAGTTATTTATTTCTCATAGACGTGACCTAAATATTGATTGACCTAAAGTCAAACGTTCATTCACTTTGATTGGTACTATTATAATTTAAACAATGACAATCACATACCCCGTTTTTTTGAGAAAAAAAACAAGTTTCAGTTTATGTACTAGGAGAAATTTTTTAACGTTTATTTACGTAAATGAATTTACCTGTTGTTGAGGCTTTCTTGTAAATGATAGATTGACTCCAGATCGTCTTTTAGGTGTGTTCAAAGCTAATTAATCATGGAAGGGAGTATATGAAGATGGTTAAATTTAAGCGATTATCGATCTAGACTCTTGTACATTTGTGTTTCTTGTGTGTGTGATTTACTCATTTGAGGTAGCGTTGAAAGTTAGGGAGTGTTGGATAGCTGTTTTTCCTTAGTATACTACTCTTTTGGAGTTCACACTCAGAGATGGGAAACAGAACCTTTAGGTAAAATTATGTGCATTAAAGCATCAGATCACTGGATTATCATCAACTGATACATGTTTCATACTTCGATTGATTCAAAATGATTAAGGTCACTGACAATGGCTGTTTTACTCCCAACATTTCTGAACTTCATAGGTTCTAATTTGCCAATAAAATTCCAAGGACATTTAAAGTTGTGGGTATGCAATGTTCATTGAAACATTAGGACCAAACAACCATCGAATGCTCCTAATTGTGATCAATCCGCAACAAATACCACTTACAGATAAAATTAAAGCCCAAAAAATCTTTAAAGTAAAAGTATATTGAACTAGTGAATTCAATGTAGATATTTCTTACTGCATAGTCTTAAGTATTTTGTTTGGGAGATGGTTTATTTTCACAAGTGAACATCTATTTGATTATTATTACAAACCCAAGAGCAGCACATAACTGTTATTGTATAGTTTGGTCATATTACTTATAAACTCTCAATTGTAAGCATCAGGTCTTTTTGTGAGTTTGATGTCAGTTAAAAACGGTAAACGATAGATTAGAACTTTGATTGAATGACTTCTTATTCGTTATGAGATGCAAAAGTTTTAAATTCTGTTTTGAGTAAGTGAATTATTGTCCTTCAGAAACAAACTATAATGAAACAGCCGTTTATGCTCAGTGGTTTCTTATGGTTTCTCACTTCTCCGGTCTACTGAATTATAAAAATCATTTGAATACATTAGATATTTAGCCAATTTACTATTACTTTATTCATAATATGATGTGTGCTAGCGATGTCGACAGATATAAGCAGTATGTATCAACAATCGAAAATGAAATGATTGGTGGCAGAAGGTTAAGAAGATAGAAACAAATAGAACGAGAACAGACAATGATTGATTTGGAAACGAAGGGAAAGTCAAGTTTGAGACGATTGATTGACATTTTGCAAATGAAGTATTTATTGTATGGTTCTCAGATTTTATTGAGACATTCAGTAATTTTGTATTGAGATATATTTTGTTGTTCCCACTTGCATTCTCGTTCATCAGAAATATAACAAGTACAAATTTAGAATATCTTGATATTTGTCACTCAAATGATTATGGCAATATAGTTTGTATCAGCTAATGCTTTCTATCATCCTTTTACAACGAATTAATAGAAATCGTTAACATAATTCCAACAATGAAGTATTTGTATTACCATTGGCTAATTTCAGGTATTACATCCATAACACAGAGACTACTATTTAGAAATCGGCTTTCGATTGTAATCATAAATCGCTGATTTCTCTCACAGGATATACAAAATATATAGGTCTGCTGAAACACTGAGGGAATGAACTGAAGAAAATCAACTATAGTTGAACTTATCCACGATTTCGTATTCTGCAGAACATAGTAACTCTGTTAATCTCCTACTTACTCCCTAAACTTAATTCAGATAGTGGGTTGAATAGATTGAGTGGAATTATACTACAAGATTTGTGACTTAAATTTTCATCAAAAATACACTAAATTAACCATAGACGTTGAATACTTTTTTGAAAGAGTTATACTACTTATAAGTACGTACAACTATATAAACGAAATGTTTAAGTTCAACAGAATTTTACAGCAAAATAAAGGTTATTGTAAATTTCCATATCAATTCAATCGTGAGTTTACTGGGTATGGTGAAAATAGTAAATATTGCAGCATTATTTTACATTATAATTTACCACAAAGGAAATATTGATGACAAGTCTACTATATCGGATAAAACTCTTAATTAATCATTCAAAAATATCGTCATTTGAATTTGACCATTCAACTTCTGAAGAAACAACTTAAGCGGTAAGTTACAAAAACGCCAAAAACTGCATTTTATGCTCACTGAGACACCATGAATATATTCACATTTTATAAACTTAGATAAACTGTTTATTACTCAATTTTTTTGAACTTATCAAATCTAATATATAAGAACTTTCGTCTAAATCTGATAGGATAGTTTCATAGTATTTCGGCTCCGAGTTGATATGAGACATTAAAGAGATAGAATGTATTTGTGAAATTTCAGCGAATAAATTTGAAGTAAATCCAAAGTTTGATCTGGCAATCTGGTTCAAATTTTTTCAAGGAAATAGTAATCTTACTTACTTACTTACGCCTATTACTCCTCATGTAGAAGCATAGGCCGCCCACCACAACTCAAACATAAAAATTGTCGAATATAGATAGGTACATTGTTCTCCGGTTCAGTGTATACTGAGTAGCTCATCCAACCAACATTAAAATGTTTGAAGTAGGTATTTGCATTAGTGTGTAAAAGAAATATTGTGTGAAATGAAAAGTGTTAAGATAACATATTGTGTGTATATGTAAGTGAGAAGAGATCTCATTCCCTATATATTGTCTCGGGTCAGTGAATTTTAAGAAAAAAAAATATATATATATATATTATTCTTATTATTAATGGCTTTATTTAATATTTTATATATTTCGGTACAATATAGAATTCTCAGCACAAAAATACTCCGTGAGAAGACGGAATTCGGAAAAATGAGATAAGACTCATTGTATTGTGCCTCCCTATGGAAATCTTTAGTAAGAGGCGAAAGATTTATCCGTAAATAAAGAGATACGAGAGTTTCAAAGTGATATATGTAAACTTACATTCTAAACAAAAATTAATTTTATTTTAAACTCCATAAACAATTGTACATCGGTGAAATATTATAGACATTTACTGCCTTCTTATTATTCACATTTTTTTAGGACTTTATACACGTTTTATTTTACATTTATATTCATATTGAAACTCAATGGAAGTTAAGTGACAATAAATTTTTCTTATTTTAGTGAACAAAGATCAATCATGTATTTAATGCAATTGATAAAGATAAAAGAATAATGATAGTGTAAAACAATTTCTGATCAATTTATGTATAAATATTCATTATATAATCATATTAGATTGATAAGATTAAATATTAACTATGAAATCATTATGCATATTGTGTTTACTTATTTCATTAGGTAAGTAGTGAATTCATGAAATCTCTAATCCATTTTACATTATATTCCTTTGAAATTTTAGTATTCTGTATGAATAATGTAATGGAACAGTCGACACAACAGTTACAAGTTCAAAAGGTCAGTAAAATCAATGAAAATTGTCCGGTTGAATAGTTAAGGAAGTTGAGATATTTATGATTTCTGTTTTTCACATGGTGTAGATTGAGATTACAACCTTCAAGAGGTATTTCCTAGAGTTCTAGTGAGGAGCAGTGACCAGTGTAGTTCAACCGGTTCTTTTATGAGATAGTAACTCACTGATGACATCGATGGACGGTGGCTCGATTTTGTGGATTGGTTGAAGTTAGACATTAACACCGCTGGATGCTTTCTCACCGGTCTAGAAGTTAAGCGTCCACGTGCGAGACTGATAGGTCCTGGGTTCGAATCTCGCAAGGGGCGGGATCGTGATTGCACACTGCTGAGGAGTCCCGTAGTAGGACGAAACGGCCTTCCAGTGCTTCCAGGTTTTCCATGGTGGTCATGCTTCAATTGACTCATGAATTCAACTATAAAATTACTAAAATCTCCATGAAACCCCTTCTGATAATTCTTTAGATATATTAAGATGGTATTCCCGAATTAGATAAACAGTTTCCTAATGAATATGAATTAAAATATTTAATTTAGTTTACAGTTCAGTCTACAAATCAGTTTATAGTTAAAAAAAGAGTAAGGCACACTTACCGTTTATTTTTTTAAGCTCTTCGATTTCACTGTGAAACTCAATTTATTGTCGTCCCATAGTTTTATTTTCGGTACATCAAAAAGTGTTTATCTTTTTAAATGTAATACGCTACTGAAAGGTTTATGCTCAATCTCCAAATATACATAGAGTAATTATGATTTTGTAATTCTTTTTTATACTTATCGATTTGATTACATTGGTTGATATAATTTCATTACTATATATGATTTAATATGGGTTTTTTTAAATATTCATGGGGGTATTGTATGGAGAAGTGGGTTGCAACTATGGATTAAACACTAAAAATACCAAACTAATTCTCAGTAATATACAGCAAAATCAAATCACATAGTTATGGCAACTTCCCACAGTCACACAAATTTATATTACAAGTATGGAACGATTGAAAGAAACTAAAATAAATGATATAATTTAAGTGTACATAATTTAAAAGGATAAAGACCTATCTACATCTCACTGTACATGTTTACACTGGTATTGGACCAACTTGTTTATAAGTTTAAAAGTCAACCCGTTATTTACTCAGTTACTGAGTCCAAATTTAATAAAACTTGTGTATAAATGGCAAAATCAAAAGTATCCTCCCATGATGTACATATGCTAAATAGATACTAATTTATTACAATCCTTAGCATCAACAACAAGTAAGTATTAGTTGTTACAAGTCGTGATCAAAGGTTTTGGTAATTTACGTTATAAAGTCGGTTCCAATCCAATATAGCTATCTGTATAAAATAGATGGGATGTAACTAGCAATGAAATCCATGACACGCATATTGCTCTATTTGGGACTCTTCAGATGGATTTACCTGCATCCGAGCGTTGGATCCTCTCTGGGACTCATTTCAATGCTTTTTGTTTCAATTATCATCTACTTAAGTATTGAGTCCATGTAGTGATTCCCTCGTGCAACGGAGTGGGAATCAGCTTTATGATTCCAGTACAGCCAGCTGACGAGTCCTAAATAGAATGAAACGTGTATCATGGATTTCGCTGCTAGTTACATAGCATCTATTTCATGTAGATAGCCATATTGGATTGAAATTGACTTTATAACTTAAATTACCAAATCGTTCTATTACTACTTGTAATAATTAATACTAATTTGTGGTTACAGCAAGATAATCCGCCTAGGATGCACGTATACCAATCAAAACTGATCGAATCTCAGTCAAAATATAAACAATCGAATAATCTAGATCAATACAAATTTAAATCCGTGTATTTATTGAATGATTATTATTATTATTAGTGGCATTATTCAATATTATATTTTTGGTACAATATAGAATTCTCAGCACAAATTATTTCAACAAGTTTCCCTTTCTTATTTCTTGACCAGTTCCTTGCTCTAAATATTGAGTGGTCGCCAGTTGGATGTTAGCGGTTCAGGAATCGACATCTGATAAATGTATATTTTTTTCGGTGAATATTGACAGTAACCATGATATCTCTGATTGAGGTCTTTTGAAATTTGTACAGCGAAATGTCGAAAACTTTTCACAAACACACCTGAATAGGTTATGAGACTAATAGGCATAATGATGTCTTAAAACATATAAGAAAACAGATAACTTGTCGAAATATCCAGATGGCAGGGACAGGTAGCCCATATATTCAAGCAGGCCGCCTATGATGTGCTTGGACTGAAACATTCAGTGTTCTATGTACATATTTTACTTAAAAATCCATTTAGTTTTGATATACCGTATTAGGTTGATAAATCTAAGCCCAACTAACGAGTTATTTGTGAACAACGTTGAAGTTTCCTACTTGAACAGTTTTGTTGAGGGACTAAAATGAGTAAAACTCGACAAAATTACAGCTGAGTTCAGAATTTCTTTATATACTGAACAGATCATTTATACACAATTGAATACGTGAAAGTGTTAAATAGATCAAAGTTATTCTACGCCATTTTATCTTTCTGTTCAATTTATTCTTCATAATTTATTTCTTAAAAAAACAGGATCATAGAAGACGAAGTCAACCAAATCTTTATCGTAAGTGTACTTTTCTACAGTAAACTACAAAATATATATTGATACGGAATGATTTGTATGTATATTTGTATTAACTTTGAAATACACGATTTAGGAATCGTTTTATTTGTATTGTCAATTAAATAAGATAGAATCACTTCAAGGAACTTTCAGCACATCGAATCTAATATTCTCAACCGAAATGTAGTATATTAATGAATCGATTGAGAGGAACCGTGATGTATGTATTAATAACGGAATATGTTTCTTTCGAACACTGTAATTTAACATTTAAGGTAATTTACAAGATAGATTTTAATGAAGGTTTAGCGATACATAGCATACTTCATACACACACAATAACCAGTCTAATAAAGGAATATAAAATGATAAAAAAACGATTTAGTAAATAGATACTTTGCGCTATGTAAATATTCTCAAACTCTTGACCGGTTCAGATGACTAGCATTGTATCCTTTAGTAGTTTTGTAGTGATATTTGTGTGTCAGTTGAATTTATGACCTGATGAAAATGTATTGAGAAGAATACTCATTGTTTATATATGTTAGTTAATTCATGGTTGGCTTAGTGGAGTAGATCGTTTGCAAATACTTTACATGTTTTATTCAACAAAACATACAAGGAATAGAAATGTTAGTTGTTTTCAGGCAATTTTATTGATGACATTCTGTGTATTGGCGATAAAAGTAATGATAGGTCTAATAATTGAACTCTTGATCGGGTTTTTCAGACGCTTACAATAACCCCGGACTATATGCACTGGTCGAATTGAACACAACAGTAGAGGTGTAGAGGGTAAAAGCATAGACTGATGATAAAGATTTATTTGACTCCCAAAATAAGTCAATAGATGATTTATGAATACACCACATAACGTATAGTTTAATTTTTAGTCGGATTAACAGCCAGATTTGTATAAATTGAGCTGATCGGAGGTTCTCTGTTCGAATCCCGCGGGCGGGATCGTGGATATGCACTGCTGAGAAGTCCCATAATAGGACGAAACGGCCGTTCAGTGTATCCATGTTTTTCATGGTGGCTTAACATCAATCGATTCATGAATTCAACTATTAGATTACTACTATCTCCACAAAACTCCTTTCTGATAATTACTTAACAACTTACTGTTTGACTACATATTTGCCAATTAAACATCAATATTTTTTCTTAACGTGTAGATAATTGTCACACACGATTGAGAAATATGAATTTTATATTGCATTCGCACTCCAATGGATTAATTTATTTCTCTCCATATTGAAAAATGTCTATCACTTAAACATTATATTACAGAAAGGCACTGTACTATCAGACCTGCTACTTTGTCCCTCCTCTTACTTACTCACTTACTTACGCCTGTTACTCCTAATGGAGCATAGGCCGCCGACCAGCATTCTCCAACCCACTCTGTCCTGGGCCTTCCTTTCTAGTTCCATCCACTTTTGTTCATTTTTCTCATGTCGATCTCCATTTCTCGGCGTAATGCGTTCTTTGGTCTTCCTCTTCTCCTTCGGCCTTGAGGATTCCATGTGAGGGTTTGCCTTGTGACGCAGTTCGGTGCTTTCCTCAATGTGTGTCCTATCCACTTGCTAATAGTATCTGACCAACGGATCCGAAGTATTTTGCGTAGACAACTGTTAATAAACACCTGTATCTTCTGGATGATGACTTTCGTAGTTTTCGAGGTTTCCGCCCCATACAGTAGAACAGTCTTGACATTTGTATTGAAAATCCTGACCTTGGTGTTGGTTGACAATTGTTTTGAGTTCCAGATATTCTTCAGTTGTAAATATGCTGCTCTTGCTTTGTCGATCCACGCCTTCACATCTGCATCAGATCCACCATCTTCATCAATGATGCTGCCCAAATATGTAAGGGTTTTTACATCTTCCAAATCTTCTCCGTCAATTGTGATTAAATTGGTGTATGCTGTGCTGTATCGGAGAATCTTGCTTTTCCGTTTGTGTGTGTTGAGACCTACTGCTGCTACACTGGTCATCTTCTCCTGCATTTTTTGTAACGTGTGCGATAGAAGAGCCAGATCATTTGCGAAGTCTCGGTCGTCCAACTGCATCCTAGATGTCCACTGTATCCCGTGCTTCCCTTCAGATGTTGACATCTTCACGATCCAGTCGATCACCAGGAGAAAGAGAAAGGTTAAGAGTAGGCAACCTTGCCTAACACCGGTCTTTACCTCGAACGCGTCTGTCGATTGTCCTCCATATGTCGTTCCCCTACAAAGTTCAATTGTTTTTATATAACAAAATCAACTACTAATGGAAGCCAGATAGTTTATATACAGTAATATAATATAAATCATATCATATTTTGTGTATATTGTTTTTTTCTTTCGCATTTTAGAGTGTATCGCATGCAAATCCGGTGTTGAACAAGCCATAGATATAATTTTAAGTCCACCAACAAGGGAATCAATCAATGATTTAATTAACAATCTTTGCATGGGAACTGGTCTATTTAATACCTCAGTAAGTAATTATTAATTTCTTTTAATATCAACTTAATCATGCATCTAAATGTGTCTTTCGATGATTATGTTACAGTAAGTGGTTTTATAAGTCAAACGCAGAAAAATTAACAATGAAGAATTTTGATCTGATTAGCTGATCGTCCAGCTCAGAGAACAAAACTCTATCAAAATCATCCATCTGAGCTATAAATCTTCACCATTACATAACCAAGAATTTCATGCATAAAACTCCGATTGTTTAACTAATGTTAGACTTTGTAACAGGAAGTAAACGTTAACAAGTTTAGAAACCAACATACTCTCACAAAATAACTGGTTTTGGAAATTGGAAATTGTAAGTTTTCAAATAGCCATTACTATAAATTATGGTACCAGTATGAGGGATAAAAAAGACCACAATACTTCAAATTATCAGTGATAATGTACTAGATGAAAAATCATCTGAAAGTATAGTACATTATTACGTGGAGTCTAATGTATAAGATTTGATCTTAAATAGTACCGTGAATATATACCACTGAAAACATGATATGAATGAAAGTATTCTTCAATATACCTTAGTTTTCAATATTTATTTAGTCATTATCAATTAGTAATATGATTTCAAAATAAACAAAAATGAAATACATAACATCATTGAAGGATTATTCTATTTGTCTTGGATTACTTTCATTTCTACAGAATAAATTCTGATATCAGAATTAACTCGACTAACCTACTTATATACTCTAAGACTTGATACAGTATACATTATATCTGTGGACTTTTCAATGTCAGAAATATTTTAAGTGCTTTATCTTGAATATGGGATATTTAGAGGTGGTAAACAGAAAGCTTTAAAACTTACATCTTGTTCTTATCATCATACTTGAAAAACTAAGGAAATTCAACCTCTAAACTCCTTCAATTAATGATTTCATTATTGGGTTTATCTAACAGTGAGTAGTTTACTGTTAAGGAAGATTATATAATTTATCAAGTTACCGAATATACTTTATTTATTACATTTCTGGATCAATCGATCACTTTCAAGCCATTAATCAATGATCATTGGCGCCTAGATTACTTGATATCATCTTCGAATCCAAACCAAATTTTTGGCTGTATATCACATTCTTGTTTTTGAGGGGTCAATTTCTCGACCATTTGTTAGTGTAAATAAAGAGTTGTGTTTTTAAATTCGATGGCAAGTTTGCTCTTTTTCATTGACCTAACTATTTAGCCTATTCATATCAAACTACAGAAGTTGGTAATGATTAATAAACTAGAGTATAAGTTCGTAACCTTAATCAAATCGACACAAATGCGTGATTTTAACAAATACAAGAAAGGGTATTAACAGTGAAATATAACAGATAACTTTGTTTACAGTCAATCACTCAAAATAAACTTGGCTTTTAATCGTTGTATCAAAAACTTTGAATATCCAGTCTATTTGTGACCTACATTTTGCATTGAGACATAAATAACAGTGTTTCTGAATTCAATCAGCTTTTACTTGGGACAGGTTGGTGAAAATCTTGGGTTTTCTGATAATTTGCTCGATCATCTCATCATTAATATACATAAGTCAACTTGTACAGAACCAATGTTTATCACATTTGAAGTGAATATGTAATTTAGAATCAAAATATCTGGTTTTTTGTATTCAAATAACGGCTGGATGATAATTCGTCATCTATTGAAGTACCCATCCTTTCTCACTTATAGTTAATTCGATTACGAATAGTATCCTATAGCCTTTGAGTATACATTACAATACCATAGATTACTGACTTAAATTCGTAACTCTCATCAACTTTTCTTATATCACAACTTATTCTTTACTGTAGCACGTAATACAACCATTTCAGGGAATGTTCTCTGTGCCAATAATATGAAAACAGATTATTCCAACATGAGATATTTGTTCCTGAATAAATCACGTAAAGCTATTTTAGGTTGATCGATTAAAAATATAATAGGCACCCACTCATGATGGGTTATAGAATACGATGAAACGTTTGGATGATATTACATGAACTGAATTATGTTGACATTGCTTATCAACTGGAACTTCTGTTCTAATATTGAGTTCAACTTACTTATGCCTGTTAACCCTCGTGAAGGAGTATAGGCAGCTCATCAGGATTCCCCATTGAACTCTGTTCTGGGTAATATTGAGTTAAAGCAAGTGGGAAATCTTAGTAATCTTCTTGTTCATTTGAATGTTTATGTTTTCAGTGTCAACTGTTTGCGAATGAACTTTTGTTACATATCTTGTGTACAATTGAGGATGTGGAACCAGAAGAGTTGTGTGCTGTAAGTCGATTCCTTTCACTTGAATATTATTATGTTTATTATCGTATTTACTAAATAGACTGTATTTGAAGGAATTCCTGTTTGTATGAAGTTGATAAAGTGATTACTGAAATAAAGTCTAAGTTGTCATTAAAATTCTCTGTAGTGAGTTTCAGATTATTGAACAAGAAATTAACTTGACAAGCTGCACGACTAAACTATCATGTTTCAACCCTAGTCATTATCTTTATAAAAACCGAGAACACAGTTAACTACGGTTATCTTGAATAATTTGTTATATGGTTTATTCATGTGATTGCTGTCCGATTGAAATAAACCAGAAATGTCTGTAAAACGTGAATAGTTACCTTATAAAGACTCATTCAACAGTTGAGCGATTCACTTAGTTGTTTATATAACAACTGTCAGATTGATTATTTTAGGTCTAACCTCGATTCGAGGTTTCTTTCAACATCACTCATTATCTTTGTGTAAACGACAACAAGTTATATGTATAGATATGTTATACACATAGTTTCATTTATCAATTTAAAGAGAGTAAGAACAAAGATATAAATATGTGACTGAATATTTTAATAATCAGTTTATGTAGAGCTGGCAGATAACTTGTTGGGAAAAAGTGTATTTATTTTTTCGATAGCATTATAATAAAAAATTACGTAGACTAAGGACAATGAAATGTACCTCTATATACTAATGTAAAGAAACTGACGATAATTAAGAATTTACGAGGACGAATTTAAGATAATCTGAGAGCGGAATTCAGAAACATTATGAATAGGTACTAAGTAAAAAAGGAATTGAAAGGAAATGTCAGTATACCTTACATTTAAAGGAGTGCAGTTAAGACTAAAAATACTTTTATTCAGTTTCACATACTACTGAAATACTTGAAAATTATGTTACGAACATATTCCAAAAGAAACATTACAGAGGGTAAGAGAACTTATGAAGGCAAATCTACTGTCATATGAAAATTCTAAGCAGAAATAATAGTAGTTTACTAACAAAATTTCTGATATACATGTAGGAACTTTGGAGCTGTGTTTTTAATGAGTATAAATGTCTAGTGTTCACATTAAATGATTGTTACACCATATAGTTAAGCTTATTTGTACTTCATTATGGAACCAGTAAAGCCGTTACCACAATACAAAAAGGTTTTTGCTGATTCTATGATATTCTCGATGTTGATTTAATTTTACCTTGTTGATATTATGTGGCAACTTGTACAGATCAACTTCTGAGTCAAACTCGAACTTAGTTATGATTTAAGCTTCATGGGATTTGAGGTAGGGTGTGTCTACGTTTGAAATGATTCAACTCCAAACGAGACAATTATTCAGAACTCTTTCATTTATAACAGTTCATCAACTGACATCAGTCAAAATATACTACAGAATAGCTTAAATAGCAACCAAAATTATTCTTATTTTGTTGATCGTCATCATATACTGTCACTACATTGATCATATCTTCTGTGGTTGTAAATCCTCAATGGTAAGGGCTGCCATTCTAGAACGAAACAGTTGTCCAGTGCTCCCGAATTTTCAGTAGTTGTATATCTCATATTAATTAGTGATCTCAACAAAACAACATTAGTAAATTGATTGACTAAATATTTAATTAATGGTTATTTTCCAGACATTCGATTTTTGTTATTACCCACCTGAGATATCTGGTGAGTTTATAATATTTTGTGTAATATTTAGACAGCCTATTAATTTACTGTAATTTCTGTTTATATTTATGAGGTTTGTGATCAGATGCTATAAAATATCGTATTACGATGACTAAAGCAAGAAATCATGCTTAATCAAAAGATTGGCATAAACCTGCTTACTATCACCTTCCGTTTTGTGGCTAGCAGTAAAATTCGAGATACGTAATTTGTTTTATTTTATGCTCTTTATGTTTTTTTAGATTGTTTATGAAACGTAAGTCGACATTATTCCTAAAACCTAACCACAAATCCATAATTCTGAAATAAACTTAACCGTATTGGTACTATATTTTATAGACGGACTAAACTGATATCACGTTTCATATTTTGGATGAAATTCACTCATCCATTTGATCACAAATAATTTTTACTTTATAGATAATATCAGTTCGTGATGGAAACTCAAACGCTAAATAACTAATCCTAACTCCAAACAGTCTGAAGACTATTAAAAATCAATGTGTCCCCTTAAGAGTTTAATGAAATAGACAATCTCTATCTATATGACCAAGTTTCTCTTTTTATTTTTTGGGTTTATATGCTGGTTAACCTTCAGAAGATATAAAAGTACTTAGTAATTATGTAAAATCTGTTTCCACTGCGCAATATGGTTGTTTTCTTTTCCAAAAACCATCCACTTATAAACTCCTTTTGCTGATTGACTGGAAACTAGTTGAAAATTTGTTGCAATTGCTCTAGGTTTGTCCCTATACAATATTGTCAACCTTCTATAATGATCATGTACATAAGTTTTACTAAGCCTCTGTATATTTGATTAACTCAATTTTATATAAACTAATAAGACATATTGAAGAGTTTCTAAGCAATCTCGAAGTATCTATTCAAAATTCACATACGATAACAAAAGTTGGTTAAATGTAGGCAAAGATAGATATTGGCTAGTAGTGGAATCCAGAACGCGTATTTCGTTCTATTTGGAACTCGTCAGCCTAATGTATCTACATCTCAGAGTTGATGTTCACTCTAGGACTCGAACCCAGTACTGTTCGCTTCAAACACTATCGCGTTATCCATTTAGCTACTAAAACCACAACTAAAACAACACCAAATGAATTTGATTAAATATAGTTCTAAATATCAACAGCAAGATAATAAAGGTTTACTTTTAGATATAAAATCTAACTTTTTGTTTTGCAAATTGATCAAAAATATTTTTTGTATTTTTTTTCTGTATGGTATGTAGTTTGTGAATATTGTCTCAAATCTGGACTTTTAATCAAATCAATATTATTGTCGGAAACTTTTCTATCCGAATTATATAATAATACATTAAATATGTGTAATAAACAATCGAATCATTTGCTCATTGTGAGTTTATATTTGTTTTGTTTATTTATTTAATATGGTTTTCATTAATTGATTTTCATTTATTGATTATGAATTATTGATTGAATTGATTCAAATATTTATTTACTTTAGTTAAGTATACACAGTTTATTGTTTTACCTGGTTCATACTCATAAATGTTTACTTCATGTATGAATTGAAAATCACTGGGTTTCTTTTTTTTTTAACTGAATAGTTGAAAGTCATCTTATTTTACGTATGGATGATTTTGTTAAATTCCAGAATAGCTAATAGAAGATACCATTATTCGAAATAATAATTACTCTTTTAATTATCATGGTATGTATAATAATTACTTATCAGATATTCATCTTGGATGTTTTTATTTCATTGTTTCATAGTTAAATGGATTCAATCAGAACTGATTATCTATAAAATTAGTTATAATAATATATGACGTAGGATCAAATAGAAGAGACACTATATTGTTTCGGTTGCATTGAAATCATGAACCGATCAATGTTAGAACACCATTGAAAACCTGGAAGCACTAGACGGCTGTTTCTTCCTCTTATAAAACTTCTCATTAGTATGTTTATACGATCCCTCATGTGGGATTGATCTCGTGTGCCAACGATTAACTCCTAGACCACTGAGCCATCATCAAACGGTGTTAATGTCTAACTTCAACCAATTCACAGTGTCACGTGATCATCTTGTTTCAAATTGGTTGTAAGCAGAAATTTATTAATACTTGCAAGACAAGAGTCCATAAATTATTAGTGAACTTATCAAAACATTCATTATCTAGTATATTTCATTGTTTATATTATGGACTAACTGTGATTAAACGACAATAGAAAATCAGAGAGCTTCGGATATTTGGTTCGTCTTGGTAAGGGTCTACTCAACAGTGCGCACCCACAATATTTCTTGTGATTGAACAAGGAATCTTCGATTCTCGTAGAAAGTGCTAAACGTTCAAATGATTAAGTTGGCATCCATAAACCCAGAAGCTATGAAGAGATTCACTCCAGAAAGGAAAAAAACACTTAAGAAGATTGAGACTAAGAACGTAATTCCTAATACGAAGTAGACGGTGGTTTGTATAGATGCTGCTATCATGAAGAACGTGAACCAATATGGAGTTAGTAAAATCAATTTCTTTATTCAATAGTTCTACGCAGTTCTCTGTTTATACCTATTAGTAAATCAACGAACAAACGTCTAATTTAGGATGATAGAAGCATGAACGTGTGGAAAATATTCAATACCTTGAATTAAATCTTATGTATATTTCACAGTAGCTAGCAGCCATAATAGATATCTACTGAAACTCGAACCGACAGACAGTAACTTCAAATGTCATAGTTTGAGTCACTAAATTTCACTGCAGTTTATACATCCTAGTTTTTATTTTCTATTTCAGGCGAATATATCTGTATTTGATTCCCAGTAATATTAAAATAGAGATTCTCATTTAAAATGTTTGGGATATTATACTATCAGAAGTTTGGATTTTACTGCAGAATAACTGCAAATAATGAATTAATTAAGCGAAGTTAAGACAATTCAGTGAAAAGAATCATTACTTTAATGATGTCATTTATTAAAGCCATATATAATTTCATTAGTTGAGATCATGGGTTAATTGAAGTTAGACCACCATGGAGAATCTGCAAGTACTGGACGGCCGTTTCGTCATATTTTGAGACTGCTCAGAAGTGCGCATCCAAGATCCCGCCTCGCGGGATTCGAACCCAGGACCTATCCGTCCTGCGCGTGAGCGCTTAACTTCTAGACCTCTAAGCCGGCATCCATCGTTGTTAATGTCTAACTTCAACTAATCCACGAAATTGGGTGACGCATCTACTATTGTCTTCAATGAGTCACTATCTGACAACAGACCCGGTCTAGCTTTAATTGACTCATGGTTTCAACTAGTGAAATTACTATAATATCCACAAAAAAATCCCTTCTGATACTAACCATATATAATTGTTGATAGTTATTTTATACAGTACTTTATAATAGATTTCGTATAGTTAAGACTTCAATAAACCCTAGCACATACCCTTTAACACTATTACGACACCACAAAACCGTGTTAAGATCAATCTTGTGACCTGTTTCAACGATGTGTTTGGAAATAGATGATGATCGATGCTTATCATCAACTCTTATTGTGTTATTTGATTTTATTTAGGTACGTGTCTACACACCTTAATTTAGAGATCGGAATTACTCCTTCCTATGTATGTAAGGCCACACTAACAGTGGGATGTGACGCAATCGTTTTCATGTCTTTAGGGTTTCTGGTGACGCATGGACCTTATTGTTTCTTTGATAATGACTTTGGCTGCGTAATACGTTTTGCTAATAACTGATTTAAGCTTTTGTTTTAATAAAAGACTACTTCGATCGCCTCTAAATGGTAAGGTGATATAGACAGGGTTTTTTGTGCCAAGGCTATAGCAGATCTCGCTATACTATGACCTTTCCATCGATTTATGAATTTTATAGAATAACCGTTTTCTATTAATGTTTTATTCAACAACCTAATGTCGTCATTAATAGAGTCTTTTGTGCAAATACGATTAATCTTGTTAAATAGGCCCTTTATTACATAGTTCTGATCATTTTCGTCTTCTTATTACACTATCCAAATTTATCAAAGAGATTAATTGTTTCAAATTTCACATCTCTCTTCTATATTTAATTTCCATTTTATAACATCCTAATCTTTACTGAATTTTATTTTTATTTATAGTGTGGTCCATTCCTACATGATTTGTTCTTGGCAGTTACATTAAGCTTTAATAAACAATTTCTTATACAACGCTTTTGTCAGGTAATATAATCATAGTGTACATACTATTTTTCACTCAATTTAAATGAATTGATAAAGTGGGATAAATAGAAAACTCTTCACAATTGATTGATTACTGGGTGGTGATCAATGACATATGTGTGAATTCCTTCTTAGTGCAGATCAAATGCTATCGACCAAATTGCAATGTGGCCACTAGTCTAGGTGGTCGGTCGCGACCCGGGTCCAGGGTTTCCTTCTGACTACCTCTAAACATCATCTAATAGAAAACTCTTAAATTGTTTAATTATTACAAGTTAAATATCAGTAAGGTATGTATTAAATTTCATAGAAAACAAAAGCTCTGAATATATGAATCAAAGTTTAATTGGTTTATATAAGTATAGTGATTTATAAGAATATGTATCTTTTCTAATCTTTGTCTTGACTTGAACGAGCGGCGATGTTATAAGTGTAGTAAAATTTCATTCATTTGTGATTAGACGAATTGGTTGATCACTGAGTAATGGTCAATATGATATTTGTTTGGTCCATTAGTACTAATAGGTTTCTAGAGATTAAGCTGCAATGTGGCCTATTGTAGTGAACTTGAACACGAGAACCGAGCATAAAATTACAAAACATCTCAATAAAATCTGTGAACGATACAGTAAATAGGTAATTTTCAAAATATTGATCCATCACCTCAAAGTTGACTGTTTTTTTGCATATATTAGTCCATCGTCTAACATTTTATTGTTCGTACATTTTCATAACAATTGCTTTCGTCCTATTGTGGGACTCCTCAGCGGTGCACACCCACAATCCCGCTCGCGGGATTCGAACCCAGAGCCTTCGGTCCCACGCGCGAACGCTTAACCTATTGGACCACTGAGGCGCCGTCCAATGGTGTTAGTGTCTAACATCAACCAATCCACGAAATTGCGTGACCATCTTTCATTGTACTGAGGTAGATACCTGTCTCTGCCCCACTGATCAGGGCTTCTCACTAGAACTCCGAGAATCTTCTCACTAGTGAGCATATGTTAATTATCAGTTTAGGGGTTGTGGAGATTATTATGTTTTTGATTGAGATCATGCTTTCAGGTTTCCAACGGTGGTCTAACATCAATCGGTTCATGATCTCAATCAAAAACTTAATAATCTCCACAACCCCCATCCTGATAACTAATTTCTATCGGTTATTATACATTTTAAATTGAACAATTTTTTTAAAAACTTTTCAGTCATTCAAATCTTTGCCTGTTTCTTTTTTGGCTTCATATAGAATGCTGGATTTTGTTCAGAAGCATAAACATTTCAATGTGGATGAATATCATTTCCTAACATAATCGACTATATGTGATATATCGATTATTTCTGATTGCTAAACAAATATACTGTTGAAATTTAAATATCTTTTTGATAGTAGTACAGTAAATTATTATCATATTATACTGAACAACTTATATTCAACTGATTTTATTCTAATTGTTTAAATGGTAGTCTTTTGAAATAAACACTCCAGTAGTTACTCACTAATTAATGATAAGTGATGATTATACAGGGTAATCAATGACTGTGAATCAATATAAAGATTTTCTGTAACGCAGATAAAAAATTAATCAAAGAATCAACGTATATGAATATAAATTGTTTAATCCAAGCTTGTTACTATGTAGTGAAGGAGAACACAAGTGAGGACAACCAAATTACTTGACAGGAAATTACAGAACTTGTTAATGAAATCTAACAATCATGTAGTAAATGATTAATTTGCAAAATGTCCATCAATTGTCTTAAACTGATTCAGACTGCATTGTTTTTGTATTTTCATACAAATTACATTCTGTTCCCATTCTTTATTGTTCGATCCTCTTGTCTCTCTGTTGCCAGACATTCTGTTCGTGACCAATGTCATATACTATTTATGTCGATATAAGTAGTACACACCATTACTATATACCATAGCCACATAAGGCTCAAACTTATAACCTTAAAGTTTCTATCAATTACACTAACCTTTAACTTTTAAAGTACATTCATTCTTAAATTTCTCTCTACGTAATCATGAATTCTTGGATTTCAACTTACTCATGATTGATAAAGGCAATCGTTATTTCTTTTATTTCTAATATCGATTATAGAAATTATTGAGTAACTATTAATGGAAGGAAGGTAACTAGAAATTTAATACTCCCAGGTTTATAATTACCTTCTATTTATTAGTTATTAATTCAATGAATCGTAGTTTTATTTTTATTAAATCATTTAACTTTATTAAAAAGATTCTCTTATTGATTAATTCTATGATTAGTATTATTCTAAATATCTATAGAATACTTGATATACGTATGAAACGTTTAGTTACTATCCATAATATGAAAGATTTATTTATAAAAAAAATAAATTATCAACATTTCACAGTATTCAATTAATTCAAGATCCACAATTTCATGGATTTATTGAAGTAGATTGTCTATTTTCTATAACATAAATACCAACCCTGCAGTAAAAAAATATAAACAATTAATTTAATACTTTATAGATACAAGATGCAATCATTTCTTGGAATAAAATTTTGATGATGATGATGATGATGAGTTAAATATTCAAGTAAAGGTTTAACTAATAGTTGAATGGTTTTTCTACCAAAATGATGGGAGAATAACATATGTGCTGAAATACAGATAGAAAGGAATGGTGCCCATTGATTCCAAGTTCTTAAGGGATCAGAAGATGTGAGATTCTACTCTATTCATTAATTATTTACCATTTGTGTCTCCGGATATATTTTTATAAAGTTATTAACTAGACTTTGATGCTAAGGATTCAGCAGGTGGTACATGAAGAAAACTATTTGTATCTGTTCAGGTTTCAGAGTATTGTTTCAGCCCTTACAAAAATAATGTGAAATATCAAATAAATCTACTCTATACTAGAAACTGAATTGATTTCAAAGTAAGTGTCATGATTATTGATCGAATCCAATCACAAATGTTCTATGCTCTACGAGTCCATATTTATTACATAGAAACTTATAACAATGATTGCCATAGACATCTACATAATCAAATTGAAGTTTCTAACAAAAACGGATTAGGTTATTAACAGAGACCTTAATGAACAATATGATGATCACTACACACTTATAATGTGTATTTCCATAGAAAATCCTTTTTTTAAATTAAAAAATGATCATCTCCAATGTACTAGATGATCATGGGATTATATCCTATATTTCACTATATTCAAAAAATAAGATAATTCATGTCTATACCGCTCATGATTATTGATTATTGTAATAAGTTAGAAAAGAGAAATGAAATCATGTGATTATTGGTGCTTTTAATCATTTTGATCAGACTTCTTTTGAAAGAACTGAAACCTTCACATCAATATTTCAAAAGAAATATGTACTCATTAGTGATTATACTTAAACAAAGCAATAACGTTAAGAAATTAAGATACAACATGTATAACGTCATTGGTTTATTGTTACGTCAAGAAAGATCTCCTGATATGTTGGAAAATTGCTTCCAATTATTTTTATTCTAAGTATATTAACTGTCTTGAGGAACTGTTTTCTATCATATAAAAGTACCATAAATATCATCGCTGATTATTATTTGTTTCGGCTTTTGATTTAAAGATTAGTTTCTAATGGGATTTCAGTCTCTTCAGTCAGAAGTTTAGTATTACCTATCGGTTCGTTATATTTCCAAGTAAAATTTCCGTAAATCAATCACTAGATTAGTCCAGTATCATCAATTTTAATGACAACAGACAAATATACTCACTACAGATGACTCTCAAGTAAATAGAAATAATCAAGTTACTTAAAGTCCCCGCATTTTTCAGAGTTTAATTCTTGTTCTCAACATTACACATAGAATGTGATATAAATGCTAAAATATTTTTCTGGCGAGACTGTAATTTATGGACGAATCAATCAGATTTACGATAACAGGTCTTGGATTTTGGCGCTTAACTCATTCATCCATTTGGCTAAATCGAGTTTTGGCATTATACTTGATGTTAGTTCGTGATCAAAACTCTAAATCTTATTCCAAACACTAACCATCAAATGTAAATCATAATTCAAATCCATCACATCGGTTTATAACCATCATTTAGTCCTAGGTAGTAGGTGGACATTGTCAAGGTCATTTTAACGTCACTCAAAGGTCGTTCACAAATTATAATCATATCAAATGTTTTAATCATCTTCTTCTGATTGAGTATTGTTAAGGATCTAAAGGACAATGAAAATACGTGAAAACGCTTTTAAATCCCTTGAGAAATCTATTCATTATTTATCGATGTTAAAACTTAACAAGATTCAAACTGATTCCTCCCCTATTTGGATTGGAATATTTAAGTAGTAATTATAGCCAAAATTGGTTTCTAAGAGTAATCGTTTTCTTTTTTTATAAATTTATATAATTTAAAGAAATTTTGATAAATATCTAAATAAAAACTACATACTTCACAAGATACCGATGGATCGATTCGGGCTATAGATTTATTAATTGTTTTAAACATTGTAAAAGTGACTAGGGCTACACACTAAAAAAATGTAAAGAAAACATGTAAACATTGGAGTTATTATTATTACTGTAAATACTTCTATTCATATTGATACTACTATAAAAGAGGGAAATGAGCAGAAGGAATATATGTTTATTGTGAGCAGTTACAAGACATTTACGCAATACATATATACATGTATCTGAACTGTTTTCTCGTCTGATCTTCAAGTATTGTGATTACGTCGTGCTCTTGTTATACTGAAGATCTTCAGTCTGTCCAACAACTTTGATGCCACGTTTCGTAACATACTACTTATAAGGAATCTTGTTAGTAGCATCCACTACAGTACTAGTAATAATAATAGTAGTAGTTCATTTTTTCATTGGTTGTTTGAAACTTCCGATTGATGTTTAGGATCGCAGTTGATCAGTCTGTTATTGGAATGTGTGGACCCTGTGCGGATTAATCGATATTATCCCAAGTCACAAGCATTATACATAGATATGACGGTGGTTAACAGTGGAATCCGGGACACGCGTTTCTTCTCATTCGGGAATAGTCAGCTGGATGTACCTGCATCACAGAGTTGATGTTCACTCCGAAACTCGAAAAATCACCACATAATCAAATTATCCAGTGAGGTAAAAGTCAGTAGAATCAAGTTTTTAACAAACTGTCAATCAAATCATGCCAAGTATATAATGGCTAATACTTTCATTACACTACTTAAAATCAACACATATTCTTCAGGTTCGTAATGTAGACGAATGGATTTAAAAAATCTAGGTAGTAATCAAATCTTTTGTTTTTATTCACCTTACACAATATATATATATATATCTATATGTGAAATATTTGAAATACTATTAAGCCAAGAGATAATTAACCTTGACATCACATGGAATACTCGACTACATATGTATGTTGTAATGTGATCTTTGCACAACGTCTATGAATTAGTCATTTTATCTTAATGAAATAATAATTTTCATTTGAAATGGTGTGTAAATCTTGTTCAGTAAGAAAGAAAAAATCACAGACTAAATGTAGGGAACATGAATTACATTTAGACCTTCATTTATCTACTTTGATTTGAGAAACTAATTAGTAGTATAACTAATCATCGCATGAATAGTGAAACTCAAGTTTAAACACTTGAAATATATGCTTAGTCAGTAAGTTATTTACACATTTGTGATAATTAATCTCGATGATTATTACACTATATATGCTAGGCAGTTCCCAATTTATTAAAGTAAATATTGCACGAAATCCCTTAATACTTATTCAAAACTTCCAAGATATTAAATGTATTTAGGTAATGTTCTATTCTCTTTGCTACATGGTTTAAATGAACAATTACATCAGCTCTTACTGGAAGTATAAGTTAAAATTTTCAATCAATCCACTGATAATACAATAGCCTGTTATAAAGACGTTGATTATAACTAGATAACGTCACCTGCATTATATCTTCCTCCATTTAGATACTAGAGCTGATTAATTTGTTGGAGTCACCACTTATTGTTCAATCCATTACCTTTTTTTTACGAATTAATAAATTGAACTTATCTATCTATCCAGTGATTCTAGTTTGACGTAAATGAAGTGCTTGCATAACGTTTTGCTTATTCTTGAGCTACCTCAGCTTTACAATTCCCATGCTTCCTCAATCATATTCATATAATCAGTCGTCCGAAAGCACCGACATATTGAGTAACATTCCCTACTATCACTAGACTATGTTCATGTACACGTAGATGCAGTTGGAGTCCACTTTGTTCAATGTATTGTTTTCTCAACTTAGTTTATATATGGTATGGTATTCGCTTTTCTTTGATAAAGAGGTGGCTCAGTGATTAAAGTGTTTAACTTTTAACCACCAATCCCATATTCAAAACTTCTCCGTCTATTTTGATCTAAGTATCTGGGTAGTATCACTAGACCTCACAATCAGAGTATGGCTGAAAACCAAAGACATTATTTATTATCTATCAAATAAGTTAAGGAATAACTTCCTTCATTGTTATGTTTTTCACTTTGCATAAAGTTGGTTGATGTGGTGTTATTGCGTTGCCCCGTCAGCAACACAGTCTGCTAGTTTCTCGTATATGCTTTCCATATGTGAGTGTGTGGATCTCCTAGATCCATTTTGTTAAAGTTTTAGAGATGCCCATCTCTGCCTGTAGTTCTTCTAGGGCTACCTCTAGTTTCAAATCCACAAAAAGATGAAAGTTGGGCGTGGGATCGACAGGCCCATCCCATAAAAAAACCTTGCTAAAAATACGCTGAGATTAAACAAATTAAACCATTTAAACTCTATTCTCTGAGTTGAAGGATCTTCATTCAGAGAAATTATGACGCCTCAATATGAAAGCCGAGACCCTTCGGAAGTTACGAGGTCGATACTCCTTCTAACAACCAGAGCAACAATTAATATAGGTACATGAAATGTCTGGAAAATGTGGGAGACCTGGAGGACTATTCAAATAGCTACAAAAATGAGGAAATACAACTTGAAGATGCTCGGAATCAGTGAAACCCATTGGACCCAATCTGGACAGAAAAGGATGAATTCGGGTAAGATGTTGCTGTACTCCGGTCATGAAAAGGGTAATATTCCACACACTCAGGGAGTTGTTCTGATACTGTCCAAACAATCCCGAAATGCACTTATAGGATGGGAATTTCATGGACCCAGAATCATCAAAGTATTATTCAAAACAAAAAAGGAGGGAATCACAATGAGTGTCGTCCAATGTTATGCACCCACCAACAATAGCAACGACGACAATAAAGATCATTTTTATGAGAGGCTTCAATCGATGATAGCGAAGTTTCCAGTAAAAGACCTGATCATCCTGATGAGAGATCTAAACGACAAAGTCGGAATGCACAACAACGGTTATGAAGATATCATAGGACGACATGGATTGGGAGAGAGAAACTAAAATGGGAAGAGATTTGCAAACCTAGATGCATTCAACGAATTGATTATAGCTGGCACAATATTCCCTCACAGACGCATACACAAAGCTACATGAATCTCGCCGGACAACACCATAGAGGACCAGATCGATCATATTTATATCAATAAAAAGTTCCGAAAGACAATGGAAGATGTGAGAACGAGGAGAGGTGCTGTTATAGCTTCAGACCACCATTTAGTTGTGGCCAATTTACAACGGAAGCTAAAGAAGCACTGGACAACTGGACAAACAGCACTATAAAGGTTCAATACGGCGTTCCTTCGAAATACTGACAAACTCAATGAATTCAAGATAGCTCTCAACAACAGGTTCCAAGCCTTACAGGATCTACTGAAGGAAGGAGAAACTACTATGGAAGACAACTAGAAAGGCATTGGGGAAGCAGTAACTTCAACGTGTCAAGAGATGCTGGGTCGAACAAAACATCATCATAAGGAATAGATCTCTATTGACACCCTGCACAGGATTCAAGAAAAGAAGAACAAGAAGACAGCAATTAACAAAATCTGAATAAGAGCAAAGAAGGTCAAGGCACAAGCTGAATACACAGAAGCAAAAAAGACTGATTCAGTAGACGCTTTCCTTTGAGATCGACAGTCTGGATTTTGTAAGGATCGGTCATGAACACTACGAATCAACGTTGAACAATCACTTGAATGAAACTTATCACCATACATCAACTCCTTTGACTATGAGGAAGCATTTGACAGTGTGGATAGGAGAACATTATGATAACTCCTTCGACACTGTGGTGTACCTGAGAAAATCATCAACATCATCCGGAATTCATATGATAGACTACACTGCAAAGCAGTTCATGAAGGATAGCAGACAGATGCATTCCGAGTGAGGACCGGAGTAAAATAAGGCTGTTTACTCTCCCTCTTTCTCTTTCTTCTGATGGTTGACTGGATTATGAAGACCTCGACACTTGACGTAAAGCACAGAATACAATGGAAAGCTTGCATACAACTAGACGATTTGGACTTCGCAGATGACCTGGCCCATACACACGAACAAATTCAAGATGGGCCAACTAGTGTAGTAGAAACCTCTGCATCAATAGGCCTCAATATACACAAGGGAAAAAGCAAGATCATGAAATACATCACGGGGAATACAAGCTCAATCACACTTGATGGAGAAGCTCTGGAAGATATGGAATCTTTCACGTAACTAATCAGCATCATCGATGAACTAAGAAGGTCAGTTGCAGACCTAAAGGCGAAGATTGGCAAAACAAGGACAGTATTTTCACAGCTGAAGAACATAAAGAACTCAAAATAACTGCCGATCAATATCGAATTCGGAATGTTCAATCAGAACGTCAAGACAGTCCTACTATAAGTAGCTGAAACTTCGAAAACTACCATAATCATAATCAAAAAGGCACAGGCATTTATTAACAATTTTCTACGCAAGATACTCAATGTCCGTTGACTGGATATCATGAGCAACAACCTACTGTGAGAAAAAGGAATAGCTTCCAGCTGAAGAGGAAATTAGGAAGAGACGCTTGAGGTGGATCGGACGTACATTGCGAAAGTTATCAAACTGCATCTCAAAACAATCCCTGATGTGGAGTCCTGAAAGTAAACGAAAAAGAGGAAGGCCGAAGAAGACATGAAAAAGATGAATAGCAACTGGAAACAACTGGAAAGGATTGCCCAGAATGGATTTGGATGGAGGCTGCTAGTAGGGGGCCTATACTTTTCCACAAGGAGTAACAGGCGTACGTAAGTAAGTTAGGGATACCCATTTATTACTCAGAATGTAAACTAAGGGTTGCTAATTAAGCTGTCATACTCCACGGACAAAACACCCTCAGTAACACCCATATGACCTATAAACCATTTTTACCGATACAATAATAAAATTATATCAATGATTTACATGATTTATATTTATCTGCTATAATTATACAACTTTTTGATTGATTATTGATATAAAAAGCATAATTTTTATGGCGACATGAAATAACTTACCAAATATGGTACTTTTAGTAAATTACTCCCTATCACTAAAATTATGTAACTCCGCAATGAAAAAAACCTAGGTGAGTTTATTTTCGTTTAGTCAGGCACTAAGAAATTCACATTCATCGTTGCCCTTTTTTCTTTTTATGAATCCTTTAATTTGTCAATTATTTATTTTATTTTTGGTTTAAATCATAAATCGATCAGTGTTAGGCCACCAGTAAAGACCTGGAAGCACTGGCCGGTCGTTTCGTCCTCATATGGGACTCCTCATTGGTGCGCATCTACAGTCCCTCACGAGTGACCCGATTGTCTGAGGTAGGTGCCAGCCACTACTCAACACGAATTGAACTCCATGGATCACGGTTTCTCACTATAAATCCGAGAATTGTCACGCGATTCCGTGTGTCGGTTGAAGTTAAACATTAACACCATTGTATATCAGTTAAGTGATCGAGCGCGAGATTGAAAGTCCTGGGTTCGAGTCCTACGTGCAGGATCTTAGGTGTGCATTAATGACGAGTTACATGCGAGGACGAAACGGCCTGTTGGTTTAACACTGGCCGATTCATAATCTCAATCAAAATTCAACCATCTCCACAACCCCAAACTGATAACTTATTTTATTATTCGGTATCGTATCGAAGTTATAAATCAAGCTGATTATTGATATTATTGGCGATTCTAACGTTGTAGTTTTAATGAGATAAAATTAAAGATCTTCATGCTTTCCGTATAATAATGTTTTATATAAAATCAATAGTATCAAATCATAAATTTCATTTATTTCGCATATTTGAAATTCACCTAAATACCCTGCTACGACCAAGAGTGGAGAGAGTTCGCTCAACCTCTCGAAACGCTCTCACATGGCCAGGCGTATATAGCCTCCGTCAGGGAAGTCCTAATCAAAGCCAACTCATGACAGGGGTGTTGTTTACGGAATTGAGAGGATGAAAAGCGAAACTCCGGCGCTTTAACCGGCTTGGTGGATATGAAGGATTCACCTAGAGGAGTTGGAAAACCCTCATTCCAAACCAATGGAGCACATGTGCCCCAGGATTCTGAAGGAAAAAATAGTGTATAAACCAATTATTGGTCAACGGTTACCATGGGACTGCATCTCATGACGTTGCTCCATTGTCTTGTGGATCAGACCTTTAGGTCAAAGGCTTCGGGTGTGGTTCCCCAAGAAGACCACCTGCTTCGCTTTGGGCACTCAAGCAGTATTGCAGACCTCACACAAATCAAATGAGATTTGTGTGACTTATATGTATCTGGCGCCTCCTTGTACCAGTATTTATGTGTTCAAATAAATAAGTAAGATACCATCAAACAAAACACTTCAATCCTCTTGAAATCTCATCAAGAAAGGATCTATCATTTACATATTACTGAAATAACAATTAGAAGGAAATTTAATTAATGAAGTCAACTGACTTGATCACGAAATGGTCCCATAAATTCACAGATATTAATTAATTTTTCTTGTAAACGTTCAAGTTTCGTATGGTCCAGAAATAATGACATGGCGGAATTATAAAATTTCAAACACACTCCACATACTGAAATAGACATATACAAATAATAATTTACAAAATATGGATTATTGATAAAAACAATCAAATGAGTGTTAAAAAAACTTAGAAGAATACATTTCCCCTAAATACGAACTTAAATGACTGACTTAACTAACCATCCAACAAGAATTAGATACAAATAAAGTTAATCTTGGTTGGATAATCATGGAAAATCCGAAAACATATGATAGGCGTTTCGTACCTTTATATGAATTCCCAGAAGTGAGAACTAACGGACTTCATATGGTCTCGGAACCGTTGAGTTAAAATCAATTAGTTTTCCAATTCAAACCTCAGAAACTTTATGGAAGTGCAGCATTATTATTCATTCCCAGAGAGATTAGTGTCTTATGTCCATATTTGATACTCTACAGGTTATAGGTTCTCACCAGAACATATGAAGCTCTTCTAAACGTTATCTATTGATTAAAATACGTTTATTATAGAGATTGGAGGCTTGTGAGAATTATTAGATTTGAATGTAGCTCAGATCGTAAGCTAGCTTAAGTTAAACAACCATTAAAAAACCCGGAGTATTCTGAACAGTTATTTCGCCTCTTGTAAAAGAATCCTCTTCAGTACACAACTAAAACATATTTGAAATGTTTAAATTTATCATAAGAATGGTTTTAATATTTTTGCTCATGCACAGAACGAAAAAAGAAACTTTAAAAATATTTTAATCAGAAATTTATTTTAATCTACGGAAAGTTAATATTCACCTTTGCCATATCAGTGACGACTTGTATTTTATTTTTCTACTAGTACGTTTGTCTGTTGTTATAAAATTTAAGGTTTAGTGTATTATTGAATCCTCCAGTACATGACTTTTTCTATCCTTCTATCTGGCACCTGGACTAGATGCACATCTAGTAACTCATCTCATTATATAATTCGTAGATATCAATCTCTATAATTCTTATATTTACGACACTGTGTAATTTGAGTACAGATTTTACAAACAGACAACAACAGTTAAAACAACTTGTTGGAATGGTTCAAGTGTAAAACTGTTTTAATATCCATCAGCTTTTGCACAGCGGTTTGTCAAACGCAGTCTTTTAGTTATGATACAAAGTTATTGTGTTCCATTTCGCAACCTTCAGTAGATTTCCTTTATTATTAAGTTCGAAATATCATCTATAAACAAACAGTTTCATGCACTCTCCCAATCTATAACTGTTCAAGATAGAGATTCACTCTAGATTTACTAATAAAATTGTAGTGGGAATAACCAAATGCATTAGACTCGACATTAAAGAGTATTTCACTAAATAGTTAATTTGCAAAATATCAATCCATCGTCTCAATCTTGACTGTTCCTCTTGCAAATATCAGTCCATTGTCTCAGTTTTCATTGTTCATGCATTTTCATACCAATCGCGTTTCGTTCCAGTTCCTTCCTCATAGATCTTCTACTGAAATACATCATATGCCTGACCATCGTTATATACTACTTATATGGATATAAGTAACACACACCACATAATCACTCAAGTATTACAATAATCAAATCACTAAGAAAGTAATAGATTGGGAAATATCTGTAAACAAATAACTCATGGATCAAAAGTCAGTATACCAAAGAAATCTTTCTCAAATGACAGTAGGATAGATTAATTTAAATATGTAGCACAGTTGAGATACACAATATAAGTAGTAAATACTGGCTCAAGTTGTTCCAAATATTTTGCATATTTAGATGTTAAATACTTTCCTAAAGTTAATAGTCTTGAAAACCTTTCATTATGATTTGATTTGTGAGTCAATTATGCATACAGGTCATGCTGAATAATCAAGTATGCCATCAGTAATCACCTCAAATCTTTTCAGACTTACACATGTGTAAATGAAAACAAAAATTGTACAAATCGACGGATTATCCAATTTCACAAAATGCGTCAAAGACTATCGTTACTTAAACAACCAATCAAAGATTAGGCTTTCTTTATGTGGTCTGAAAGTATTTGATCTGATCGCTGATGAGGTTGCGGATGAGGATTTCTGTAAAATGCTGTTCTAGAACAAAACAGTTGCGTATTCAGTAATCTAGCATCCGTCCGCGATGTAAACTACAAAACACAACTGATAATAAGTGGATGAAATTTATCTACCCAATAATGAACAACATTTTCCCTTTCAAGGTTTATTAATCATCTATCAGTAATCCTTAATAACTACAGTTTAACATTAGATTATCAACTTCACCAGTTTACACTCAGAATGTAATTTTTTACTGATTGTATTGAATTTCAATTATACAATTATATATCCTCATATTGATTAAGTACAGTTAAATAATGATGATATCAGTATATCCGTAGATATACAGAAATTGAAAGATTCACATACTCGGCATATCAATTCAAAGATAGACAATTAGAACAACTATTATTACACTAACTGTTTTAAAGTTTTCTTATATTAAATAGTCAAATCATAACTTTATGAAATAATAATTTTAGTAAATACGGATAGAGATCAATGTAAATCTTAAATCAATTCAGTCATTGTAAAGTTTCTTCACTCATAACTACAGTGTGCTTGTAATATAAATGAATGTTAAATCATTTGTCATCTGACTAAATTAGTAAAATATTTATGTAGATTGTTTTGTGACAATTTATGAAAATAAACAAAATCAAGGGATCTTGCTTACTGCTCTCACATGATAGTGTATCTGTTCTCTTATTTACACATATCTAGAATGATTTATAGTTGATTGATAGATATGAAATTAAAACTGTTGGATTAAAGTTTGACAGTTGAGTTATATATAATAAAAAGGTATCTATAAACTATGAATAGAATCCATTTCATTAATGTAGAAAGTATAACCGAGATGTATATTAATACCTACATTAATGGATCATTGTTTTATGACAACCGTCATAGTTTTGTAGACTTTAAGTTCTGTATGAATTCTATCTAACAGGTTGTGATATGGTCATTAGTCTAAGTGACTCAAAATTCCTTTCACTATCTTTGAATGTTAGATGATCAGAAGCAATTGTCAGGAAACACTGATATTAATTTCTAACATAGTCATTTATAAATTCATAAGTAGTTTAATAAACCATTGTTTACGTCAATCAAATGGCATTATGAAGCTTTTACGTGTGACTAACGTTTGTTATTCTTACATTACAGAAAAAAACAATAGACTTAAAACAATAACAATTAATTTAAACATGATGGTTACCTTTAGGAGAATAATTTATTAATGGCATATGCAAATGTGAAATGTTTTTTTAATATTTATGGGTGACCGTATGAGCAATCAGTCTTTTTACAACAATGCTAGGATTTTTGCGTCGATCGTTCTGAATAAATTGATTAAGAAAGCTAAAATTAAATTCAAATTAACACGCGCTGCACAAGATAGTGGGTAATTAAACTCCGTAGCCCAGTGAATATTACGTTAGTTGTTTGAAGCAAAAGGCATTTGGTTCAAATCTCAGTATGAACATCATTACTAGAAAACATAATGGCTATTATCAGAAGGGGTTTTGTGAAGAATTTAGTAATTTCAGTAGTTGAAATCATGAGTCAATTAAAGCTAGACCACCATGGAAAACCTGGAAGCATTGGACAGCCGTTTCGCCCTATTGTAGGACTCCTTAATGGTGGTGGCTCAGCTCTCGCGCGCGAGAATGGCAGGTCCTGGGCTCGAATCTCGCGGGGGCGGGATCGTGGATGCGCACTGCTGAGAAGTCGCATACTAGGCCGAGACGGCTGTCCATTGCTTCAAGGTTTTCCATGGTGGTCTAGCTTCATTTGACTCATGGTTTCGACTATTAACATAATGGCTATATTGAAACAATTTGTACAAAAAGCACATATACGAACTAAGGCTGATTAAAATTCAGTCAAGAATACAAACAGCGGGATCATCCGACCTATGACAAGTTAAATTATTTATCATGCTTATTGATATTAACAAATGTTTAGATCATATAAGTATGTGTATATATGTGACGTGGTGACTGACATTCAACTACTGGTTCGCAGTTTCATAAAGCGTCTCACTTCAGTGAAAGCAGCCTTACTGTATCGGTAAATCACTCAAAAATATGTTATTTAACGTCAGATAAATGAAACTTTACTTGATTCCCAGCTTGGATATAAATATATACATACAACCGGAAGAGGTGATTTTTAATCCAAATGAAATACAAGCTATCATATGTTTTCATTAATGTAGCTTCAAAAATATCTGAAACTTTTATAGAGGATGTCGAAAGAAAGTTATGACACTTTTTCTAACTAAATTCCACAAACATAGTATTTAAGCTCTCACAAGAAAACTGATGATATCTCGAGGATCCAGATGAATCTTACTGAAGAGCTTAAAAATGAAATGAAACGTGTATTACAGAATTCATAATGATTGTAACATTGATTGATTACTGAGATGTGATTGATGTCATGTTTATTTGTTCTTTTACTGCCAATCTAATTCTAGCTATCGAGATCCAATACGATCAATTGTCTAAGTGAATAGCTATCAATGTGTTCTACGTTTGATATTAAATGATTGAGAGTAGCCTGAGCTGTCTTAAATCCCATTGAGACCATCAGTTCCCTCAAGGGTATGTAACTGTAATATCTGATGGCATGTCCATTTAAATAATGAATTATTTAGATCAGATATATCAGTACTGAGAATTCTATATTGTCTTAGGTGCGTTTGAGTTTAACTGGAGGTACTAATTGCTTTGAAATTACATGTACGTCTATCTGACCAGCACTAACTATCCTGAAATCTAGGTCACAAGCTACATACTAAATGCCTATAACAATTTAACGTTTATATTAATTATTTCTTGTGGAAGGTCATGTGACTAAATAAATCTCAATTACATGACAACGGAAAGTAGAATTAATTTACCTTAAAGCATATAATGAGCTTCAAAAATTTTCTGTAGAGTTAGACAAGTTTCACATAAACTTATCTTACTATTTAATAAATGAAATGATAATTTTTTAATGAATAAGTCATCATTTAACTGTACATTATTTTGATAGAGTTTTGTTTTCTGAGCTGGATGATTTGTTCGTGGAGCTTTCGTCGTTCTTCTGAACGATGTGCTGATGATGTCGTTCAGAAGAACAACGAAAGCTCCACGAACAAATCATCCAGCTCAGAAAACAAAACTCTATCAAAATCATCTACCTGAGCTACAAATCTTCTCCACCAACTGTAGATTAACAATTGATTAATATTAGAGTTGTGATAGTTGGAAGTAGCTTATCTGTTGATTATTTGACAAGAATATTCAATATTAAATGAAAGCTATTTTGGCTCATTGTTACAATATATTAAACATTCAGTTTGTTTTTATTGTTATAAGTCCTCAATATAAACCGCATTCGATGTATCCTGTTAGTATAAAGAACATTAGATTGTCCTCATAACTAAAAATATATCTTGAATACTTTTATAATACAATTTCATTTCTTAGTGATCTGTCGAATAACACTCGGTCATTTACAATTGATTGATCAATGAGTGGTGACCAGTGCCACACATGTCAAATGCTTCTTAGTGCTGGTCGAGTTTTGTCAATCAGTTTTTAATGTGGCCACTTGTTTCACTGATTAGATATCTCGTGCACTATGTTCAGATGTATGGTAGTGGTTGAAGGTAACCGATAAGAAAACCCTGGACATATGTTTCATCTTATATGATACTCATCACTAAAGTGTGCCTGGACTCTTGAAAGAACTGATCGTTCCGGTCGGATTCGACCATTTCACAGTCAAGGGCATTACGACTGATCTATTACGACCACGGATGACCTTCTGAACAACAAACAGATGAATTTACAATTGATTGGCCATTGAGTAGTAACCAATCCTATGTACGTTATATCTTCCTTATCGTTGATCAGATTATGTCTATCAAGTTAAACTAATAGCTCAATGGTAATGTCTCTGACTATGAAATGCGTGTCAAGGGATCAAATTCTATGAGAAGAATCAGTTCTTCTAAGAGTACCAGTATACCTTGATGATAAGTGTCAAATAATATGTAACCTAGATTCAGGGTTTCCATATCGATTGCCTCTAATCACCACCTTAAAACATTCGATCATCTCATGTTTATAGAACTTTCTTTTCTTCAAAACATTAAACATTGATTCACAAATTTCTTTTGTTTGCTTATTTAATTTTAAGATCTTAAATTACTATTTTTTAATTGATTAAAATAAACCAAATTTAAGTTTCAGATGATTGAAATTTACACAAAAAAATGATCATTATTAGTTTAAAGTATTTGTATTAGCTCAAATTATAATGGAGAAGGAATGAATTCGACATATGTCTATTAAAAGACCAAATATATTCGTTTAACGAATATTAACTAAATACAATTAGTAAGTATTTATCATAGCGTATCATGAACTGACAAACCAATACGAAACCGAAGACTGGTAAACAATCATCCCTTTTGTAGTATGAGACTTAAAAGTGAAAACATATAACCCTATCAGGTTTCGATCACAAAATTTCCATTTATGAGTCCGCTAACAATCTCTATAAACATACATTTTAATCAGAATGGGAGTTTGTGAAGATTGTAGTAATTTTGATGGTTGAATTCATGAGTCAATCTAAGCTAGAGGTTAAAAGTTCACACGTGAGACCGAAGGTTCTGGGTTCGAGTCCTCTGTTCGGGATCGTGGATGCACACTGTTGAGGATTCGCATACTGGGAAGAAACGGCCGTACAATGTTTCTAGGTTTTCAATGGTTGTCTAACTTAAATCCACTCATGTATTCTTCAGATCTTTGTGAAAAATAGTGACTAGTGAAGTTCAAGTGAGACAGCTTAGACACAGTTATCTGTTACAGTCTTTAATTTAATTCATTTACTATCAAGAGATTCTAACGGTGATCAAGCAGGTCTCCAAAATGCAGAGATTGGAAAGAGTAAAAGGATATAAACTAACAAATTTGAATCATAATGTAGAAAAATCATGGGGATTTATAATATTTGCCCTCGTTAACTCAGAAAACGACATATGAGGAGAGACCTTAATCAGATGCATAATCCTCTTCTTTTAAAAGCCATTCTGTACCTAAATTTCACGCCCTACTGCTGACCCTAAATTGGTATTTTATCTGTCTGACTTTTAGCGTACCTGGACTCTTCCAATTTACAATTATCATCGATATCACTAGATGACAATTGGATGAAGTAGGAAATGTTGAATAACGAATATTTATTTGGTAACCTAGACAAACTATGATCATCAAATGATCTAAAGATTCTAGGTTTGAACCATCTAAAAAATCTTCAACTTTTGATTACGATCGGGTTTCACTATTAGTAGTAGCCAGCATAAATTGAATTCATTTGAGTTCATAACAATTACTTTATTAAATAAATCACAGTTTTCCAAGAGAAATTATTCAATGTTACTCAAAATAACCTTCAACTAATGTTACACATCAGTACTGATAAGTATTAACTGTAATTGAAATGAAATTGACCAAATAACCATTACTTACATTTACCACTATAGGATTTTGGATCTCTAGTCTGCAAGAAAATAAGAGAGGGGTTAAGAGTAAGAAAGAGAGAGAGGGTGGAACGAATATTCATTGGTAAAAACAAAAAAAGTATTAATGAACGGTAAGTGGAACTACTTTTAAATCTTCTAGTTTTTAGCTGATCATTCTGTCTGATCTCTAACTGATTACTTCAAATGAATAAATATTATAAAAAGTTATCTATCCCATTTAAAACATTCGTATTCAGCAAGAATAAAGAATGTAGAAGAATGCATATACTTTACTTCATATCAATGAAGATCAGTGAAATAACGGCAATAAATATGGCACAATTGTAAAACATCAACAACATGCTTTTAACAATTCGACTGTTCATCATCAATTTTGTAATGTTGCCCCTCTGTAGGGTATATCAATTAAAAGACTAAAAAGCAGTTTATATATTCAAAAGTATACAGTTGTCAGTCCTACATACCATGGTGACTTATTTTTTATTACATTCTTAAGTTATTTGTTTATCAGCTGTACTTGTTTCACACTATTGATTTATTCAATTGTTTTTTACAGTTGTTATTACGTAACTTTCAGTATTGACTGTCATTTACCGGAAAATTATGTTCTTGTTTTTTCTTATTAGTCTTCTCTCAAAATTTTTATGTTAACACATAAACATTCAACTGTTAGGACATTTTTGTAGTTTTCCCGTATTTATTGCCATTTTTAACATGATGTAAGGTATATATATTATTCTCAAGTAATAGATGATCTAAAGAAAAACTGAAGATTCGATCTATAATTCGTTAAGAATATAGATTTTGATCTCAATTCTCAACTACAATTGAAAACTTCATTTTAGGATCAATAGGTTACCCTTAAATAATTGATATCATAGAAAATGGAGGACTATCTGAATTTTCTGAAAATTCACTATTCAAAAGGTTCAGTTGTTATACTGTTTTATATTAGTGTTGGGGACGATAAGTTCTCCAAAAACTCACGTTTGTAATTTTATCGATTAATTTATCGATTATATGTTTAAATATTTGAATAGCAATCAATTGACGAACTTATTGACGAATGTTTAAAAATTTAAATGACAATATCGACTATATATATTTGTATATATATGTTTTAAATTGTTTTTGTTGGAATCGCTCGTTTCTGGTTGTTGCAGAATATACTTCTCATTTCAAGCCTTTGTTTTAACCTATGAACTGTTATTATACGATTTTCCATTCTTGAATTATGTCCAGTCTATCAATTACTACCTCCCACATTTACAGCCACATTTGGCCAAATCTTGTACAAATGTTATTTTCTATTTTATGGTACGATGTGGTCTGTTTGATTGGTATATAAATCTAGTATGTTCGAAATATAATGATTCATATCGCAGAGGCTCGGATTGGTGTTCTGTACTTAACTGGCTGGGTTAGACAGGAAGCGGGCCCAATAAGGACTCTAGGCTGCTCGCACGTGTTTTACGCGTTATTGATCCGATCGATAAATCACTACTCTCTAATTGGCGGTATCGTTACTTTATGCATTAACAGGGCACACAGGCCACAAGTTATGACAGGAACATTTTTAGATTAAAATGAAATACTACTTTAATTCATTCATGTATTCAGTAATTGTATAAATAACAGCTTTCCATAAAAATTAATTTTAAATAAATCAAATTCTCCCCAAAAAAGCTATTTAAATAATCGGATGTTCACCGTAATTTACGGTACTTGAAGAAATAATAATCTTTGAAAGAACTTCAAAGATATAATAAGTTGAATTGATTCAAAAACATGATTTGAAGTCTTCATTGGGACAATAATTTTATTTCAATATACATCTTTATTTAATTACTATTAGATAGAATAATGAATTTGATTTAAGTTGAATGAGTTGAACTAATTTAGTTCATGTACAAAACGAGTCATTATCTAATTTTTATAATATAATATATTAAGCAATAAACTGTATATCATTTAAATGTGATTCTCAATTTGTAAATACAGACAAAGATTTTCACTTATCACTGTTAAAAGTCGAGTGTTTAAACCCCCAGATTACTACCTAATAATTATTTTTCTATTATTAGTGTTTCACAATTTGGACAATAGTAACCTCTGTGTTGATTGTTACTCGCCAGAAAGATGTACCTTGAATTTTGATGGAATTGATATCTTTTGTTGGATTCAAACCTTCATCACCCAGTCGAATCTGGGAATGTGAGTTCTTTAAAGATTGCAAGTACACTGTATTGATGGATGCCAACTAGCACAAAACATGGATCTGGGGCTTCCTGCTGAATGTATACAGCTACCCTTAAAAAGTTATTTTTGTAACTAATTTGTGTACATACAGTGGAAATGTTTTCTAGCCTACTTCTAAAATGTTTTTAATCGAACAAACACAGTACCATCCACTAGATCCCTTAATTAATTCCATGACTAATACACCGATAAATTGTGTTTTAGGCCTTTCGAATCTATCAAAATATACAATTGATTATTTGTAAACTATTGCAGGCTTTTGCTTAATCATACTTATAGTAACTGAGTGAATTTAAATATATATCCTATACATCTCTTTGTTTCTTGCTATTATGGAAGTAAACAGCATCGACTACTCCTGAAAATATCATGACTAGTTAAAGTAAACATTGAAACAATTGTTTACGATTAGAATCAATTAAGCTTTTGATTTCGATGTCTTATTTCTTCTATTTTACCTTGGAGATTTTGTAGGTGTAATATGGAAATACTATGTAAAACTGTTATTGAGTATGTTAGTCATAGATTAAGTCATTTAGGTATATGATGTATGATTTAGTTGTAACAGAATTATGTATTCTTATTAAACATAAGATGGTATGTTATTTTGACGAAGTTTTGTTCTCTGAACTGGATGGTTTGATCGTGGGACTTTCCTCGTTCTTTTGAACGACATCAACTTCTACCTGAAGTTTGTGCTGATGATGTCGTTCAGAAGCACGATCCAGCTTAGAGAATAAAACTCCATAAAAATCATCCAGCTGAGAAACAAATCTCCACTTTCATCATATAATCCCATTCAACAGTGCCTTGTGTGATTACAATAAATAAATGACTATAACTTAAAATTTAACAGAAATCATGAACATTCTAGTGATGCAACCACTTCTTTTCAGCAAATGATTGAGAAGATTCAGATTTCATTCCTTCATCTAATTCTAGACAATAAGCTTGTTTTTCAAAAAAACTGAAAACTGAACAAATCAACTTATTTTCAGTTACATACAACTGATGAATTGATCAGTAGCTATTAGAGACTACAATGTATTAGAACAAAATTCGTCAATAACTATTGGATTATGGTAACTGATATAATTCAATCAAAATGTAATGTCGTAATTATGTAAAGTAGCGTAACTATACTTATTGAGAAATAGTATTTGTTATAATTTGCGTCCGTATCTCCTATTAATATATAACGTAATGAGACCGAAAATTAGAGTACAGTGAATCATCGGCCGGACTAATGGCACACTAAACCCATACGAGCAGTCTACACACTTTATTGATTCTGCTTACTGTCTAGCCCTGCCTGTTACGTCCAGAACACTAATCTCACCCTCTGCGATGTAAATCATATATATCAAGCATACTGAGTTTATATACAAACCAAACGGACCATATCGTACTATAAAATAGAAAATAACATTTGCACAAAATCTAACCAGATGTGGCTGTGAATGTGGGAGACTATAACTGATAGACTGGGTATAGCTCAAGATTGGTAAATCGTATAATAATTGTTTATAGGTTAAAATGAAGCTTATAATAAGATGAACACGAATATGAATAGTTTGGTTACTTAACAGTTATACAATGAAAGTATACGTATAGTATTAACTAATATATAGATGCCAATAGCTACTATTCTCGTCGGGATATGACAGTATTATATAAATACAACTGGGAAATTGTAGAACAATAAAGCTAAAGAAAAGAATGTCACCTCTGACAAATAACTAAGAAAGCTTTCCACTGACATTTATGATATAACTTTAAGTGATACTTAAAAAGTGTTCTTTATTCAAAGGTCATGAAAAAGGAATTTTTAATTTTTACGTTTACTGCTTTGTAAATAAATTCATCTGTTTATTATGAATTTCCTTAAATCTGTCTTTGGAACTATCCATTTCTGACTCAATGATAAAATGCTATAGGAGATGATGAGTAACCTAAAGATCTATGATTCGATTTTTATATGTTATGACAAAAAGAATTAGTGATTTTATTTAATCTCAACAGATAACCAGACTGAATAGAATCATTTTCTTTAAAAAAATCATCAGTATTGTGATCTCTTTTACAGTAACCCTGTGCGTCTTTCCACTTACATGTTGTTTATTAACTAATCACTAAATATGTGTAAAATTGGTACATATATAAGTGTATTTGTTTCAGTGTCCTTTTTCTATACAGCGTCAATAAATCTTTATTGTGCGAGATTTTGAGTTTTTACTTGACATCGTGGGAATTACATGAATTCCCTACCCCAAATAACATGAAGTATGACTGTGAATATTACATGACCTAATAGAATCTATTCACTGAAAATAATTTACTTCAAGATATAGTGCCAATTACATTTATCATTACTGAATAATATTACACCCTTCAATCACGTCAACGTTGATAATTCAACAAATCGGTACATTAAATGAGACGAACTCATATATAAATATACATCAAAATCACTACTACTCAAATATATTATGTACTATTATTCGTATGGATTTGTGTTTTTGTCATTGTTGACTATCAGAACTAAAAAAGATTAATTTTTCTTTGTTTATGGGTCTGAACGCTACCTAACGTTAAAATTTTCTTTTCTTTTATGAATAATATCTGAGAGTGATTAAATTGTTAATCTAATTTAAAACTCATCTGCTAAAGTCCTTAATGAAATATCAACAAAAGTAAGATTTTAATCTTTACAAACAATAATCAACATTAAATTCTCTTGACGTTGTTTTACTTGTATCTTCTCATTGTTATTTAGGACTGCAATTGATCAGTTTCATGTTGGCATATGTGCATACTGTGCGGATTACCTTAATATAGCCTTAAGTCACAAGCTTTTTCGGTAAAAATGAATAGTGGCTAGCACTGAAATCCAGAACACGCGTTTCGTCCTATTATAGACTCGTCAGCTGGATGTACCTGCATCACAATGTTGATGTGCACTTTAGGACTCGAACTGAGTACCATTCGCATTTTTCCACTTAGCTACTGTGTCTTGATCATCAACATCATTATACTCCATGAATAACCTGCACATTTTTCACAACTCATTAAGTGATTACATAACTTTAATATGATCAATACGGGTTTCAAATTTCGAAATGAATATCAGTTATAGAATATAAATATATCTATTTGACAAACCCCAAATAAGATGATACCCACTAATACCTACTATCTTATCATCAAATAATTTGATTATGAAAATATACAATCAGTAATTCTAAATAGTAGTTTTAAATAATAGGAAAAAAGAATGATTAATAGATCACAGTTTTATTTAACTTACCAAACTAATCAATTCATAACTACCATAAATAAATTCTGTTTTAACTAAATTCAAAAGGAAATAAAAGAAAATATATAATACCAACCAAATCCTAATCCAATACATTGTAATAGGATAGTAATAATAATATTATTATTATTGTTGTTAAGGTATGGTATCATATTCATGAATAGAAAAAATCTATTAAATTGTAAACATTTAAACAAAAAAATTTTTGTTAAAATTATAACATACATTTATGTATTTACCACACATGCCAATTATGAATAAACAGTAGACATATAAACCTATAGAAATAGAATTTAAATATTGAGTTGCTGTTTTCTTTCTTTCTTTCTTTCTTCTATTTTCTCTCTCTCTCTCTCTCCATCTCTTTCCCCCTCTCCCTCTCCCTTATTCTCTATACAAAGAAATGTAAATACAAAATGTAGACTGTACTATTCATGTAATGTTATAATTAATTCAATGAATCATTTAATAGAACCATGATTATAGTTCAAGTTTACTCAAATCTATAAAGAAAAATTTTTTTTCATTAAACATTTATTTTTTTTAAAATTTTAATTATGATTCCTAATAGTTGCTAATTACAAATAGTTTTAAAATACTTACCTAAATGAAATTTACACACGCACATGCACATGCACAGATGCACACACACACAAATGTGACGTGTACATCAATGAATAAACGTTTAGTCTATCTGTTTCATTGATTTTATAAACTTTTAAAGAACATTATTTAAAGCAATTAGTTCCTTTAATAAATTTTGATAATGTAATAACAAGACAAAGATTATCAGAACTATGCGATATATAAACGCAATACATTTCGAACAATCTGATCACACATACTTGTTAAGAACATTTATATGTATAAAAATAAAAGGTCAACTAAGCTAGAAATAGGTTAAGATGAGCCATAGAGGAGCAATCGTGATCTCAAAATTAGGGTGTGTAAACATGTACCAAAATAATTGCAGCAACAAATAGAATCAAGTGACCTAATAAGAGTAGAGGATAAACATCCATCATCTACTATTGCTAAACATATAATCGAAACAAGCCATTAGATTGATCTAAACTCGACTTTTGTGGTGTTGTATAAAAGTGTAAATGGGAGTATACTAAATTTTATGGAAGCCTTAGCCATACGAAAATTTAAACCTCCTTTGTGTATTGAAAAACATTTTATTCTCATCTTAAACCTACTCTGGTAATATTGGCTTATTATCCAGAGTGATTAGGTTTCAAATTGAGTTCACATTATTATTATTATTACTATTATTATTATCCTTGTCTCCTCTTAACCAATTCTCAGTTTATTTATTTTTATATATCTGAATGTTCATAACAAGTATAAGTGTCATCAGATTGTTCGAAATGTATTGCTTTAATATATCACCTAGTTCTGATAATCTTCGTCTTCCTTATACATTATCGAAAGAACATTATGTAACCTTGGTAAAACAAAAGACCATTGAGTTGAGTTAGAAACAAATGCTTAAGTAATCAATAAGACGTTGAATTCATGAGTCGATCGAAGCTAGACAGCCATTGAAAACCTTGTAGCACAACATGGTAGTTTCCTCCTAGTACGGGACTCCTCAACAGTGAGCATCCATGATATCACACGGGGGACTCGAATTCAGGACGTTCTGTCTCGTGCGCGAATGCTCAACCCCTAGATCACTGAACCGCTATCCAACGATGTTATTGTCTAACTTCAATCGATCCATGATCTTGCGAAACATTACATCCATTGTCTGAGGTAGATAACTGTCTCCATTCGATGCGGACTGGACTCCACTGGTTACAGCTTCTCACCAGAACTCTAGGAAATCACTGGTGACCACATAATTATTATCAGAATGGAGAACGAAGAGTCCCATACTAGGACGAAACGGCTGTCCAGTGCTTACAGGTTTTCAATAGTGGTCTAGCTTAGATCAACATATGAATTCAACCGCTCAAATTACTACAATTTCAACAAATCCCCATTCTTATAATCATTAAATAGCTTAAACAAATTAGGAATAAAAATTAGTAAAAGTTCAGTTAGTCAAAAACAGATTTTTTTAGTTAATGAAAAGTAGTCGATAAGAAATATAATATCTAGGTTTCTTGCTAGTTTGCACCAGTCAGCAACGAGTACTTACAACGCTAAGAGAAACGAAACGACCTTTGAAATTTCAACACTCACGACCCGTCGTTACAGTCTCGGACTATAAAACTGAGCTATTCAGACAGTTGATGATTTTCTGTAGCACTGAGATATGTACAGATGTTTGATCACTAAGTAATGACTTAAAGGATTGTTTGTGAAAAGAAATTATAAATGATTTATATAATACGCATATATAGCCTTCGATCACCAGGTTGCATCTCATGGTGTGTTCTGCAATCTGAACTGTCTTTTCTTCTGGTCATCAAGTATTTCACATATACCGTGATTTCGACGTACTAAAACTCTTCGCTCGGTGTAACGACTGTGATAACTTTGAAGTCACGTTCTGCAACATACTACTGACAAGGACTCTTGTGATTAGCGTCCACTACATTACTACTTCCAACTACCTAACTTCTTAGAGTGGCAGATGCGATAATGAATTACCTAATTAAAGATGAAATTAAAAGAAAGTACCCGTTGTCACAGGATTTGAACTACCGGATTAATGAACCAGTATCTTAAAGATTAAAAATGTATGACAATTTCTGTATCTAGTTTATACGTAAAAAACACAAATGCAACCAGTCAGCTACAGATTTCAAATAATTCACCTTCGATTTAAAATTTGATAACTACCTATAACGAGACTATAATTTATGGAAAAACCAATCAGATATAAGATAACAGGTCTGGAATTTTGGCGCGAAATTCACCCAACCATTTGGTTAAATAGAGTTTTGGCATTGAAGCTGATGTCAGTTCGTGATCAAAGCCCCAAATCTGATTCCTAACCCTAACCATCAACCGTAAATCATAATTCAAATTCCTCACACCGGTCTATAACCCTCATTTAGTCCTAGTTATTAGGTGGACACTATCAAAGTCAGTTTATCGTCACTTGAATGTCATCCATAGATTGTTGTCTCACTCTTCCTATTTATTTATCCGTACAGTAAAATGCTCAATAACTGATTTGAGGTTGATTCATGGTTGATAGGTGAGTATCACAGTTTTACTTGAGTATACAGTTAGGAATGTAATCCAGAAGCCTATAATCTGAAAACTAGAGTAATCTATGCTTTGGCCCAAATCATATCATCATCAACAAATATACTCCCGAAGTCATTTTAAACACTGTAGCTGAATTAATTGTTTTCACTCTAAAACTTAGTGGATACCATTGAGTGAAACATCAATAGTTCCTATTTTAAACGATAGATTATTAGCCTATGGTAAAATGTCTATTTAAACGTAATCCTTTACAGAATACACATCTGCTAACAAAGACTGATCAAAAGCTAATTCTGAGTATCAACAAATGGAGAGCTCAAACGCTTTTCATTCACTTTATTTGTAAGTGCTGATCAATCAAGTATATTGTGTATATCAAGCTTAGGGTGGTCAAATGATAGGGTCGAGATTGTAAAATATTTGAGTACCGAAAACAATCGACAATATGCTCACGACACAATCTCTATGGTTATTTTCATCCATTAAATGGAATATCCCCGAATCATTGAGAGAAGTAATGTACTGTGTGAGATTGAGATCAGTATCTCTAATGATAGCAGTAAAAACATTGTTATTGTTCATTGTTCACAAGCCTAAAATCTGTAATAATAAGACGTCCATTAGTGAAGGGATAAAAGTCTTTTTTTTTCAAAAGACAATTTCAGTTATATAACAAATTTATTTTCAAGAATATTAAACAGAATAACGTATGTGTTGCAAATAACTTTGATTGTCAGACTTTCTATATCAGATTTTCAACGATTTGTCATATAAAAAAGTGTAAATGCGGAGTTTATTAACTACCTTATAAAAAGAAATCATTTAAAGTGTTTACTTCTAAGATTACTCCTCGTTGAAAAGCATAGGCCACTCACCAGCACTCTCCACCCAACCCTGTTCTGGTCAAACCTTTTCAATTGTTTCCAGTTGCTATTCATTCTTTTGATGTCTGCTTCCAACTCACGACTCAGTGTGTCCTTCGGCCTTCCTCTTTTTCGTTTCACTTCAGGACTCCACGTTAGCATAGCACTCTCTAAATCCGGGTTCCAACAAATTTACTAATAATGGATGATCATATTATAGACTAACTGAACCAACGGTTTCCAAAACGTAGGTCTAAATGTAATGTATTTATCGTAATACCCTACAATTTTGAGTTTGACCATGGGTTTGAACAACGTAGAATCCTTAAACTATAAAAGTCTACTTTGTTGAGTTAATCAAACTTGGATTGGTGGCTTTTGGAATGTTGCCTTAAATTCAAACGTGGTGACAATTAGAACTGAGCTAAGTAAGAACTAACAATATTCAGACTTAAAATTTATGATATCGAAAGAATAAAATACAAAGACCTAAGTTTATGGATTTTCAAGGATAAATTTAAGGTCCTGGATATTTAAAATCAAAGATTTAACTGCATTGTCATTCAAATTCTTTTGTAACCAGTCTAGAAAATAAGACTCTTTGGAAGTAAATAACTACCTACAACCAGCTAATCACAATGAAAGCCTCACTTGAATGTTGATATAGTGGTATTTGTAAAGATTGTTGAATTTTCATTTTCTAAATCACTAATTGATCTTAGCTAGGCCTCTATTATTTGTTTATCAACGACGTAACAATAAATACAGTAATATCGAAAACATATTCAACATGTCTCCTGACATAATCTTCAGACGGATATAAATGTACCCAAATTGTAACTGGAATTTTAATATTTACATCTGTTTACGCTGATATTTACATGTTAGAAGTAATTGGTAGGATTGTCATCCTGTCTTTCAAGTGACTAAGCCTACCGACAATCAACAACCATAATAACCAATGAAATATGGTTTGACATTATTTCAACAAAATCTTTATTTGATTTAATTATGTATAAACAAAGATTAGTACTTGAAAATTTAGGATCTTTTAAAATACCGTTCACATGATCGACAACATCTTTTACAGTAGCGAGTTTACAAATGCAGAACAAGGGGGTATAATCTTGGATACTATACTCAGCAGAACATCAAGTATAACAGAATATTAGAAATAGAGTAACACCGGTCAAATAATTAATTACAATAGTGGTAAACAAACAAGACACAAAGAATAATGCATAAATATTATACACAACATACAGAACTCTTTGAAGCCGTTTTATCGTGCAAAATACGGATGCAAGTCATCTTTGTTTATTATCTTTAAAAATAACTTCTCCAAAACTTCATCAAAAGATATTTAAGAAATTGACGTCTTATTTAAAAATCAAATCCATAAACTCAACATCGAATAGTTCTCCATGAAAGACATTTCGAAACTCACGTGAATCAGTATTGTGTGCAAACTAGTAATTTCACATTAATTAGAAGACTGAACAGCGGTGAAAGGCAAAGTAAACATTATTGACGGATTAAAATGCATCAACTAAAAGAAGCACTGAATTGAAAAAAATTGAATTCAAACTACGTATACATATACAGAAACACAAACCAACAGTGAAGAGACATTATATGGGATTATGAATGATATCAGATTTTCGATTTCTGGATTTGGTGAATTATCACTTATGTCAATTGTTCCACACTATATCTTACCTGAATGTAAACGTCTAATACATATTTGGTTGTAATTAGCTGATGAAAAAAACACGAAATATAATGAATTCATATTATCCTGCATCACTGTTCGTTCTGGCTTTATTTACATTCATAAAGGGAACTAAGTGGATGAAATTATCACACTACCGTAAACATTCTAAAAGTATGTGAATTCCAATTATTAATTCATTTTTAGAAGTAATCTTCGACTTCAGGTGATGAAACCCCAGTGATATAGAAACGAAATGCTGATGTAGAGGCATAAATGCATATGTAATTGTGAACTGTTTATAACTCTGTATGAGTAAGTAATCAGTCGATAGAACAAGATAGCACTCAATAAAAATTTTATTTTGAATCAATCTCAATAACTTATATATTGCATTACACTATTTTTCAGGGCTAGTTTTTAATTCACAATATTTAGTGACATTAAATAGTGTATATCCCACTTTTCACCCATTTTCTAATGATTAAAAATAATTTTTATATTCAAATACATTTTTATTGAGATGTATCATATATTTTAGTTAAATAATTAAAATAACCCATAGTGTCATTGAATAAGAAATACTTTATGCTACTTTATATATATATTTCAGTAGTAAACTTTGTTGAAAGAAAATTCCAAATGGCTGAAAGTTGTCGATAAAAATAGAACTGATTTAATTGATCGTACCATGACGTAACTTATGTAGAACATAAAAATATATCCTGAAATTAGAAAAAAAACAATATCATTCAAAGGTTAACTAGAGTTTCTTCTAACGTAAATTTGGATTTTATTACTTAATCTATATCCAACAGTAAACTTTAAGCCTTGTTTAGTAAAATAAAATAATGATAATAAATTATTGAGTTCAAAATTCATCTGAAACGTGAAACATTGGCTTGAAATGCCGTAAACATTCCTAATAAGTAACTAATTCACCATTTCAAAGTAATTGGATTTACAATTAGAAATCTATTTACAAATTTATGCGTCAAGTTTATTTCCTTAAGTCCTATAGATGTTAACAAAGACTGGAAACAAAACTTTCTAACAGAATAATGTTTAATATGAGATGAACAAACTAACTACAGATAAGAAACCATCCTGTTCAGATTTGTTTGAATTTTATCTAAATCATTTCTGTTATTGTAACTTAAAAACACTGTGATGTTAGTTTAGTTTTAATATAAGTTCTTATTTAACGAAACCATAATTGGTTGTTCTCTTACAGACAACATTTGCGTTGGGTTATTTGATCATTTATTGATGATGTCGTTAACTTTACAAGAGTGCTTTCCAAATCCCATCAAGTTTTTGCTGTCTACTTATGATGGTATCTTTTTTTCGAAAGTCTTTCATTATCTCACTTTTTAGTTAAGATCTTTATGAGTTCTACAACAAGACTTTCTTCGCAGATATTTAGAAAAAGGTAGATGTTTTTTGTTCAGCAGCATTGCAAATTCAAATGTCTATCGTGTTCATAAGTTTCTTTCCGTTATTTAAAAATAATATATTGTGTCATAAGAAATGAGTTGAGTAAGTTTACACCTAAAGAACTGCTTAACTATCTTCAAAATTGTGCATTCTAAAGCTTTAGGGTCATGAAATAGTGAGATCGATTATCTACTGGTATTCAGTCAACATTAAGAAGTAATTTTTCAAGAAACAGAATTTGTGAACCAATAAAGGTAAAAAAAAAGCTGCAGTTTTTACAAATAATTTGATCTTTATGTTATAATTTGTGTCCTTATCTCCTATTAATATATAACGTAATGAGACCGACAATTAGAGTACAGTGAATTATCGGCCGGACTAATGGCACACTAAACCCATACGAGCAGTCTACACACTTTATTGATTCTGCTTACTGTCTAGCCCTGCCTGTTACGTCCAGAACACTAATCTCACCCTCTGCGATGTAAATCATATATTTCAAGCATAATGAGTTTATATACAAACCAAACAGACCATATCGTACTATAAAATAGAAAATAACATTTGCACAAAATCTAACCAGATGTGGCTGTGAATGTGGGAGACTATAACTGATAGACTGGGTATAGCTCAAGATTGGTAAATCGTATAATAATTGTTTATAGGTTAAAATGAAGCTTATAATAAGATGAACACGAATATGAATAGTTTGGTTACTTAACAGTTATACAATGATAGTATACGTATAGTATTAACTAATAAATAGATCCCAATAGCTACTATTCATTATTCTCGTCGGGATATAACACTTTACTTTGATCATATAAACATTCAGTTAAGGAAAAGTAGTTCTTCAGAAGTATTATGAATTTTTTCAAATTAAGATAATCCGCTTGAATAGAAGATATAGAACAATGAACAAATTCGGCTTGTTATGACAACCAAAATAAAGTGGGCAATTTTATACTCATAACCAATCTATATTTTTTTAAAACTAATTAAATATCAAAGTATTTTCATGTTAATCAATTCAAAATCGAACTATTTGTTTATTTTGTTTGTTTAATTGATAATTTTTTTCTCTTCCTCTTCGAATTAGGTATTAGCCTAATAAATCTATTTGACGATTCATAATATCATTTACCCTTTAAATAAAATAACATCAAATAAATGTCGAATCCCGCGAGCGGGATCGTGGATGTACACTGCTGAGGAGTCTCACAATGGGATGAAACAGCCGTCCAGTGCTTCGAGGTTTTCAATGGTGGTCTAACATCAATCGGTTCATGATCTCAATCAAAATGTCGATATACTCTGTACAGAATCAACACAATATACAATTGACAGAACTCAACCATCAGTTGAAATGAGTAAATGAAATCTATGACTTTGAGATGATGGAGAAGATTTGTAGATTAGGTGGATGGTTTTGATGAAGTTTTTTGTTCTCTAAGCTGAACGGTTTGGTCGTGGAGTTTACATAGTTATTCTGAGCGACATCATCTGCACAAACTTCAGGTAGAAGTCTAGTTCGCCTGATCATGTCATTCAGTATAACGATCAAAGCTACGCGATTAACCCATCCAACTCGGAGAATAAAATTCTATCATAAAAAGAATCTATGATAACATAGAATTAATCTCTAAGAAATTATATATGGCATCGTTTTATGACAGAATATATTTGTGAAAAAAACTAAAAATACATCATCATCATCATCATCATCAAATCTCTTATCATCAAGTACACTTGAATAAATACATCCTTCTTATTGTTTTAATAACTTTAATGTGTCAATTAAAATTAGCTGAAAATATTTAAAGAACTACATTTTATTAATAACTTATTATTATTATTAGTAGTAGTAGTAGTAATAATAATAATAATAATAATACTAGTTGAATTAAATCTGCTTAAGATTGGATCCATATAATGAAGCTTAATATTCGGTAAACAATATGTGAATCAAGTTTTAATTGATAATCTTAATACAAATACAAACTTTTCGATTAATTACTCATTAAGCTCTACAATAATAATAGTAATAATAGTAACAATATGAAATGTATATGTTTTAAGGGATTTGAATGGTTACAAAACTAAAAATAGTACAAAATTTCAAGTAGATAGTGTCTATAATGATTAGAAATTACCTACGTGTTTATGTAATTTTTTATATTATACTAAAAGGTTAATGAAAATAATTTAATTTTTAAGGAATGTTTATATCATGAATTGATTTAAGGTAGACAATCTAAATAATATTGAACAGGTATTTTATTTTACTTTAAGACTTTGCAGAAGTATCACCCCCGCGTCAAAAAAACCTCTATCAAGGAAGATAGTACTGCCTAAAGTTTTAGATAGAATCAATAACTAGTGAAGTTCCGTAACATATAGAGTGAAATAGATATCATCGATAGTAACAGATGTTAGTCAAAGAAAATTGTAAAGTTAATGGAACTTGAGTAGCATTGTAGACAAACTCATTAGTCCATAAAGAAGCTAAAATGAAGCCTGAAGAGAACGTACTTCGTCCCTGATACGTTTTTTGATTTCTGATTCTCATGTTTTAAACAATATGTACTAATAGGATATCGAAAATTCCATCAAGTCAACTGCCGAAATTTGATGTGTAAAGGAAGATTTTTCAAAAATGGAAATAATAAACAAGGCTATTCCTGGTGGAGCACATGCTGCTACAAGTTCAGATAGATCATAAACCTTTTCAAGGACATATAATAGGTGAGAAAAGTAAGATTGAGGAAGCCTATTGTGAGTGGGTGGTTGGTTTATTAATCTAATCGGGGTTATTAAAGACATGTCTCTCTCAGAATCAGTTCAGCTCTCTCTCTCTCTCTCTCTCTCTCTCTCTCTATATATATATATATATATATATATATATATATATATATATATATATATATATATAATTTATGTGAATATTCATTCGCACTTTCACACTAAAGCTTCCTATTAACTATATGCCTTCTTAATTACCACAGGAGGTTGGGTAGGAATTATGAAGATTACAGTATTGATTGAGTTGTACTAAAGAACGTAATAGAATAAAGTCACTTCATTTCTACTAGTAGATAATGAACAGTTCGTAATATCATGTTTTTTTATTGAAGCATTAAAAATAAACGCAGTTATCGTGTCATATACATGACCATGGAAACGATGACCTTATTAGAGCTGAACAAATAGTCAAGGAAAAGCAGATACTTTTCCAAAACCAATTTAATTGCTCTCTGAATCAAATCAGTCCCTGCAAGTTCCTTTTTATCACGAATTGTTATACCAGCAAAGTATATTAGCTACTGAATATCTAAATGTCCATTAGATAGTACTTACTTACTTACTTACGCCTGTTACTCCTCGTGAAGGAGCATAGGCCGCCCACCAGCATTCTCCATCCAACCCTGTCCTGGGCAACCCTTTCAAGCTCTTTCCAGTTGTTATTCATCCTTTTCATATCTGCTTCTATTTCCCGACGTAATGTGTTCTTTGGCCTTCCTCTTTTCCGCTTCCCTTCAGGATTCCAAGTTAGCGCTTGTCTCGTAATGCAGTTTGATGATTTCCTCAATGTATGTCCTATCCATTTTCATCGTCTTTTCCTGATTTCTTTATCATCTGGAAGCTGGTTTGTTCTCTCCCACAGTGGGCTGTTGCTGATGGTATCCGGCCAATGGATGTTGAGTATCATGCGTAGACAGCTATTGATAAATACCTGTACCTTCTTGATGGTGTTTGTTGTAGTTCTCCAAGTTTCAGCTCCGTACAGTAGAACTGCCTGGACGTTCGTATTGAAGATTCTGACTTTGATATTGGTTGAAAGTTGTTTTGAGTTCCATATGTTCTTCAGTTGAAGGAATGCCGCTCTAGCTTTGCCAATCCTCGCCTTGACGTCTGCATCTGAACCTCCTTGTTTATCGACGATGCTTCCCAGGTATGTGAAGGATTCCACGTCTTCCAGAGTTTCGCCATCAAGAGTGATTGGATTGCTGTTCTCCGTGTTGTGTTTGAGGACCTTGGTTTTCCCTTTGTGTATGTTGAGGCCTACTGATGCAGAGACTGCTGCTATGCTGGCTGTCTTTATCTGCATTTGTTCGTGTGTATGTGATAGGAGGGCTAGGTCATCTGCGAAGTCCAAGTCGTCTAATTGGTTCTGAGCTGTCCATCGTATGCCGTAGTTTCTCTCAGATGTCGAAGTCTTCATAATCCAGTCGACCACCAGAAGAAACAGGAAGGGAGAGAGTAGACAGCCTTGTCTTACTCCGGTCCTTACTTGGAATGCGTCAGTCAGCTGTCCTCCATGCACTACTTTGCACCCATTAGATAGTATCAGATAATAACAAAAATATTCCTTTAAATAATTTCAGTTACTACTGTGGTGTGCGCTGATGATGTCTACAGATATATGTAGTATGTACCATCAATCGAATGTGAAGTGCCTGGCTGTAGGAGGTTAGGAACATCAAAGAGAAGAGAACGAGAACAGTGAATGCTTGGTGTGGAACAACGAAGTTTGAGACGATTGACTGATATTTTGCAAATGAAGTATTTATTGTGTTGTTCTCAGATTTTAATAAGAGACTCTGTGATTTTGTGTTCAAGTACATTCGGTTGTCTCCGCTTGTGTTCTTGTTCACTTCACTACTAATAAGACTCATGAGTATACAGAATGAACTTAGCAACGTATCTGCTAGAAGTAACAAAAATTTACAAATTTTACTTTATTATTTTAAGTCACTAAACTGAAATATCGTTGAGAAGTTAACAGTATTGTGTAATATTTCATGTACATTAAGTTAATATATCGATTAAGTGACTAGAATTACTACTTTACATCATTTAATGTTACATTTATTGCGGTATGTGCTACTGATATCGATATAAGTAGTATATTACGCTAGTCAGGAATAGAATGTCTGGCAGCAGAAGTTCGAGAAGATCAATAAGGAAAGAACGGGAACAGAAAGTGATTGGTGTGGAAATGAAGGAACAGTAAAGTCTGAAACAATTGATGGACATTTTGTAAATGAAGTATTTACTCGATGGTTCCCAGATTTTACTAAGAGATTCTGGGACAACTTAGATCTTCTTATAGAAACCAATTATTCGTACATTCCTTTATTATTGACTGATAATGTATGTCATAGTTGTCTACTCTTTAATGCAAATTGAATTCTGTCGATTAAATTTCAAATCACTGATTCACAAATTCATTGATATATGTTAGTGATAAACATTTAAATATTCATATTTCACAATGATGTTTGATGAAGAATGAATCAATTTATTCCCTGTAATCATTAAAATGAAGTTAATCATTAAAAGGGTTCATTATTGATTACATATTTCATATTACACATATGTGTTTCTATCTTATTTATATTTTGTAACTAAGAAATGGAAGAAAATTTAATTCGACTCAATTTATGTTCATTACCTAATTTTACAGGGGATAAACTGGAAAGCGAAATCTAAGTAGAACACACTGTAGATTTAAGTATTAATGCCTTTCTATATATATATATATATATATATATATATATATATATATATATATATATATATATATATATATATATATATATAATCACACTTAGGTAAATTAATGTCTATAAACATATAAAGAATTTTACGAGAGCAAAACTATTTACTACAATAAATATCCTTGTTAGTTTTGTTATATCTACCGCGCATGACTTAAACACTGAACACTAGAACCCTCCAAAGTTGTAAATGAGAAGAAAGAAGAAAACTGAAGAAAGAGCTTGTTGGACAATAATCAAAATGTACAGAAGATCATGTGTATTTATAGATATTAGCGTTTGTTAAGTCAACATTATAGTTCAACTTATCCGCAAGTAGGCATATTACGATACTGACCATTAGTAGCATGCCATATTGATATTCTAGACAGCTCTACTGCGCTCCGATTGGATCAAACTCTTCGGCTCTACTAGGGCTTATGGAAGCCCTGTCATAGTTCTCGAAAGCTGTCCCAATAAATTTACGTTATCAATCAGTAGTTGAAAAAAGATTTCACACCAAACTGTTCTAAATAGAATAGTGTTTTCTGCATACTCATTTACGACTTATACTAATAATCTAGTATTCGAATAACAGTTTAATGAAGTCATTCTAATAGCATTCATTATGTAACGAAAGTTATACTTACCTATAAATAACAGTATTGTACTAAACTATATTTCCTTTAATTTCAAAAAAGTACAATTGATTAAACACAGATTAAAATGATTAATTTTAATCCAAACAAGAAATTTGGATCCTGAAGAGGATTCCATAACAGTTTTAATATGTTATTATATCAGTTTACAACATAGATGCTGAAGTTATCGATTTTCGGCTAATTTGATTTTATACCTTTATCGATGTTTTTTTGTTTCTTACCTCAAATCATGAACTCATTGTATCTGTTAATATGATCAATAAGTCTTTGAAATCAAATCAAATCACTTGAAATCTAAGAAAAATGAAGTCTTAAAGATTATCCTCATAGGTTTCATTAAATTGATTGAGTATAGTGGATATTTTAACGAATGAATTTCTAATAATAGATGAAAATCAACGCTTGATTTTGAATAGTATTGTATTTTAACAGTATTTATAATATTAATAAGATGTAAAAATATCCTATGGTAGATGCATGTGTATATACATTATATGCTTAAAGTGATCATATGACTTAATACTTTAGGATAAGATTTTTGTAATTCTATTAAACGGTCCCAGATTTATAAAAGATATTTTGGTGAGACTATAATATATATGGACGGCCTTTAAGTGACGCCAAAGTGAGCTTGAAAGTGTCTACCTACTTATTAGGGCTAAATGAAGGTTGTAAAGCAGTTTGTAGAATAAAGTCAATGATTTACAATAGATGGTAAGAGTTAGGATTTAGATTTATGGTTTTTATAAGGAACTGACATCAGCTAAAATGCCAAGACTCTATTTGGATGAATGAGTGAATGAATTTCGCGTCAAAATCGAAAACCTGTTATCCTAGATCAAATTGGTTCGTCCATAAATTATAGTCTCCCTGATATTTCTTCTCAAAATATCGTACTATGAAATAAACATTCCAGTGGTAATTATTCAAAATATAGCTTACCTTACAAACTTTGTCAGGTTTCATATTTACTATAAATTTGTTGATAATTTTAATCATTGTTGAACTGAATAACGATGCACACTGTAAAGTAATAAAGTAATCATATAACAATTGTTTAGCTAAAGAAGTTTTGTGAAATTAATTTTAAAGTTGTATTTGGGACATATTGATCTTATTTGTGGTATTGATGAAAACCATAAAGCATTGAAAAGCTGCATAGTCTGAGTACATAAGTCATTAGAAATGTATGGTAACTATTTTAAAATATTCTCGATATGTACACAATGAAATAGCATTAAATAATTGTCCAACTTTATAGTAAATTGATCGAAGTTGGTACTGTGCCACTGAACATCAACACAGTAGTTCTAACGGTTGAGCGTCTACCAGGAGGATTAAAAGTTCCAGGCCTCATCTTTGGAGGAGTTGTGGGTGAGCATTGCTGAGGAGTATCGGGTGTGAACGAAACAGTTATTCGATGTTTTCATTTCTGTGTTTGTATAAATTATTATTTCATCACTTTGAAATAATGTTAATAAATAATTTAGTGAATTTTTTCTAGTCTAAACCACACGAATTGTGTAGTAGTTCATTTGAATTGTACAAATCAGTACTATTTAAAACAACATTTTATTGTATGCTGTGTTCATTCTTCGTGGTGTTGGAGTTTCTAAACTAGAGAATTTAATTAACAGTTGATTGGTGCTATTTTTACTGAAATTAGTTGCTGATGTCATTTCCATTTAGAATAACATTAGAACAATCAGGTTAGAAAAGTCAATATTATCAGAAATATTCACTTGGTCAATAAAATTTCTGCATTATTTCATGAATTATGAATTTTAAATCAACTATGTCCTAGTTTAGGACCACTACTTGATCATACATAGCACAGATGAATAATCTTTATGAGGTGTTTCCTAGAGTTCTGGTGAGAAGCAGTGACCAGTGGAGTTCGACCGAGTCGGTTGTGAGATAGTAACTCACTGAAGACAATAGTGGATGTGTCGCTCTCATGCTCGAGACTGATAGGTTCTGGGTTCGAGTACATGGTGATCTAACATCAATTGACTCCTGATCTCAACTATTAAAATTATTATAATATCCACAAAACCCCCTCTGATATTATTCTTATTATTATTGATTCAAATCAAAAACTTACATTATCACGAAGCGGGCCAGTATATTTACATCCATTGACAAGTTTTATTTCCCATTTCAGTTGAAAATCCAAATCCGATAAATCATTTATTACTTTAGCGATTGTTCTATTGCAACGACCACATACTATAAATAAGTAATATCAATATTCATTAAAAAGATATCAGCGAAGACATAAGACTATATTACTCACTTAATGCTTTTGAGAATAAGTTTCACTTAGTTTAACTCTACTACATTAAACCAATAGACCAATAGATCACGGTATAGAGTATAGCGGCGGTTGATGTTGGAACACATCAAACTTGTGCAATGTCTTGTATTTAACAACCGATGACTCAGTGTCCGAATAACTGATGCTGTATCATATTCAAACCTATCTTTTGTTTACACTGTTTTTAAAAAGTATTAACTGTTAAAGCTACTAAGAAAACCCCGGTTATTCAAGGACGTCCAGTGATGAAAAAGGAGATGGAACAGCTTTGTGGTCAAATTTAAAGGTATACTATAAATTCTGTGTAATAATAATAATAATAATATATTCGTGCTCTCTGTTTCTGTATGCATTGAACAGACTATTTATTATGCTTAAATAGAAATGGTATATTTTCCATTCGATTGTATTGACTGCTAGTTTACAAATAGTGTTTTAATGAATGTCTCTGTCTATAAAAGAAATTTTTATCTTTCCCTATATTACTGAATTTTACAAAAATAAGAGTTACCATTATCTGAAATGCCAGTTCACTTATTCTGAGTAAAATTTGGATCTATTACTTTATTGTTTTCTATTCAACACCTTTACCCTTGTGAAATATATTCAATATCTTTTACCAGTTGCATAATAAATATGTAAACAGAAACTATCATTGTTAAATGTATTTATATGAATTGTATACTGAATAAGGATTATCTAATAATATTCTCTAATGACTAATATTGTATTAATATCAGAAGGAGTTTTGTAGATATTATAGTAATTTCAATGGGTAAAATCATGAGTCAGTTGAAGCTTGACCACCATGGAAAACCTAGTAGCACTGGGCGGCCGTTCTGTGACTGGCTTCAAGATGTTTATCCTGAAGTTCTAGTGAGAAGCAGTGACCAGTGGGGTTCAACCGGGTCTGTTGTGAGATAGTAACTCACTGATGACAATGGTGGATGAGTCGATTAATTTGGTAGATTAGTTGAAGTTAGAAATTAACACTGTTGGATATCGGCCAGTTCAGTGGTCTGGAGGTTAAGCGTTCGCGTGCGAGACTGGCATGTCCTGGGTTTGGATCTCGCAAGGTGGGGTCGTGAATGCGCACTGCTGAGAAGTCCCACAATAGGACGAACAAATCGTCCATCCAGTGCTTCCAGGTTTTCCATGATGGTCTATCTTCAACTGACTCATGATTTCAACCATTGTAATATTTTATTGTTTAGGATTAGTTAACTATTGTTACTTTGTACATAAATAATTAAATCCTGATCGTTTTGCATCTTTTCTTTACATTCTAGATCACTTATCATTTAACAGATAATAAACACTATTGAATATAAACACTAATTGTAATTTCTTTATATAGTAATTATGTATTTACACAAGTGGTTACTGGTTGTGTTTCCTATTATTTAGTTAAGATATGAATAAAATTTGGTCGCTTAAATAATTTCAGCCTTTCTTTCGAATTAGCTGATCCGTCTAAAAAATGGTTAAAAAATGAATTTTACATTAGGACTAATTTTAATTAGACCATCAATATTCACTCGACTGTTGTTTGCTCAAATGTTTAAAATGATTCCAAATATTTGTTCCCATTAATCTGTAGGTTGATGGTCTGTATTACAGTAAAGTAGTTACTTTAATGATGTTTATAATTGTTCATATACTTCTAATGCTTTTAATAGACAACTGCTGATATATTCACTTAATACGTGATCAAGATTGTTAAAAAAACACATATGATATTTACAAACAATCTCTAAAACATTAGTTGAGAAGTGAAGAAAAGTGTGAAACATAAATAGCCATTTCTCACGAATGATTACTTTAAGTAATAATAATAATAGGGGGACTAGTGGTTACCCAAATTGCTTCACAGTGTTACGATTAAAAGACTGGTAATAAGTATGATTTGTCAGCTATTTATTATGTACAATATCGCAGTAATTTGAATTTGTGTTTATAGATTAGGCAAGGCATAAAAAGACTGCACCAAGGTATGAAACTATGAATTTTCAAATTAAGTAATATCCTTTTTCAAAAAAACAAACTCACAGTTCAATAACTTTTCATTCTAAAAACAAGATGATACAAAAAAGTGGATGAGTAACAAATAAAGTTTTTATCTATCTGTTACCAAGTATAAAACAAACTATTAAAATCAGATTCATGATAGAGTTTCGCCCTTTGTAGACTTCGTCAGTTGCTTTTAATACGATAGCTTTCAATGGTTTCTTTTTTCTGTAGTTGAAATCATGAGTCGATTGAAGATAGACCACCATGAAAAACCTGGAAGCATTGGACGGCCGTTTCGTCCCAGTATGAGACTTCTCAGCAGCGAGTATCCGCGATCCCGCCCCCTCGTGAGATTCAAACCCAAGACCTATCAGTCTTTTTTTCCTTTTAAGAACAAAAGCATTATCTCTAATAGTGGTTGAATGGAAACATTTAAACATTTTTTTTCGCTTGAAACGATAGTTTTTTTTCATCATTTAAGTGAATAAAACAGCATTACAGTTTAAGACGTTCTAAACAGTATAAACTTTAATTGAAATAATAAATTTATTAAAGAATATTAGATGATCGGAGCTAATCTCCAGATAAATTTGAACCGAAATCTCAGGTTATTCGAAACTTGATAATAAAGGGCTTATATTTGTTAAGGTTAAAAACAGCTTGGAAACTAGTGTAGTTTTGTTTTATCCCTCCATGTTACAGTTGATCTTTTTTTATTGATTTGATAATCATTAGATGTTCAACTGTAGAAAAGAAGTTGGGATATTAAGTATGTTAGATATGAGATTCTACAATGTATTTATAACTAAGTAATTGAAGATTTAAAATAACCATAAACTACATTGAACTAATTGGGTTCTTTGTTAAACCACTTGCCTTAACAATTTGTTAAATAAGAAACACACGGAATAATTGAATTATCACTGACCGATAGTTACGTAACAGAATGCTAATTATAAATTAAAAGAAAAAGACGAATCTAGACTGATGAATTTTAGACTGGACAATTCGTCGTTTGTTAGTTAAATGAGAGTTCTCTTTTCAAAAAGATAATGTCCACATTCACCACAACGTATTTGATAGAACAACGCAAAGCCCATTAGAGAACTCTTCGTTGAACTAATCTTTCTTGTTCAATATCTGAATGGGTGTATTCTGTATATTAAAAAATTTCAAGGACACTTCTACAATAAAAAAACTTAATGGATTTCTGAATTATTATGTCAAATTTGCTAAGATGAATGTGGATTTTCATCATAAAATAAAGAAACGGTTATTTATTTGATCGACGTTTATGGTTCATCAACTAGTGTATACACTATTGATGAGGTCTAAGATAAATTATCGACCACAATCTACGAAGTCAACTAAATTGATAGTGAAACAGCATTCATTATAAGCATGTATAAACAGTTCATAAACTAACATTAACCTCAGAATAAACATGCAAAATGTATAAGTTTGATTTGATATAGGAAATATAAATAGATGTTGACTACTATAAAATTATAAATAAGAGTTGAAACTTTATTTTATTCTAATAGTTGAGATCATGAGTCAATCAAACATAGACCATCATGGGAAACCTAGAAACATCGGATGGTTGCTTCGTCCTGCTGTGGGACTCTTCAGCAGTGCGCACCCACGACCCCGCCTCGCGGGATTAGAACCCAGGACCTATCAGTCTCGCGCGCGAACGCTTTACCAATAAACTACTGAGCCAGCCGGCATCCAACAGTGTTAATTTCTAACTTCAACTAATCTATCCATTCGAGTGACACATCCAACATTGTCATCAGTGAGTTACTATCTCACAACAGACCCAGTTGAACCCTACTGGTCACTTCTTCTCACTAGAACTCCAGAATATACCTCTTGAAGCCAGTCACTCATGATCTCAACTATTAAAACTATTATAATATCCACAAAACTCCTGATATATGTTTTATTCCTTTATAATTCTCAATAATCTTTCAATTGGTGTTAATTCTTGATGAAATCTCCCTATTAAAACTAACCTAGTAAATCTATTTACAATTGATGTTACTTACTTGAAGACATTCATTATGAATAGTAAATCCTTTAATAAATGATAAATAGATTACTATTAGGAAACATTTATGAAGAATACACATTATATACATAAGGTAATTATGAATTGAATTTGTTGATTTAACATAATTCCAATGGACTTTATAAAGTGTAATGATAGACAATTATTATTATTATTATAAGAGTTGATAATTGAACTTTGAATTATGATTAATAAATTTATAATCATTTTGTGTTTATATCAAATAGTTATTTATATTTAAAGTTACTTTAAAATAATCGATATCTTTTTTTAATTTTATAAACAAAGATGGATAGTAACTACTAGTGGAATCCAAGGGGTGTGTTTCATCTTATTTAGAATTTGTCAACTGGATGTAACTACATCTTAGATTTGATGTTTATTCTGGGACTCGAATGCAATATCGTTCGCTTAAAATGTCATTGCATTATCTAGTTAGCTAATGAGTCCTGATAGCCCCTAGGTTGTGTAATGGGGTGGAGATTTCGATTCACTTGGTGCAGTTTACTTGTATTTTCCAATTGATGTTCAGGACTGCAATTGGTCAGTCTCTTATTGGCATATGTTCATACTGTGCATATTTCATCTATATTATATTATATTACATTCACAGGCATTCTAAACAAAGATGAATAGTGGCTAGTAGTGAAATCCAGGAGGCGGGTTTCGTCCTATTTAGAATTCGTCAGGTGAATGTACCTGCATTTTAAAATTGATGTTCACTCTAGGACTCGAATCCAGTATCATTCGATTCAGATTTCCACTTAACCACTGAGTCCTATTAGTCATTTGCTTGTGCAGTTGGGTGAAGTTTTAAATTCACTTGGTATTGTTTACATGTATCTTCCCACTGAATGAAGTTAAACTTTTCAATTGCAGTCCTAAATAACAAATGGGAAAATACAAGTAAACAACACCAAGTGAATTTAGAATCTTTTTATTTTAATTATCAAAATACTCATTATAAATAAATATACATTAACATGTATTTGGATGGTATAACTATTCTTTGAATCAATGGTTATTTGAAATAGATGTTTAGTGTGACAATTTGGACTAATACATAGTTGTGTATCGTTCTATCATGATTATAACATACGGAATGGTAGTTTTAATACGAAGTAGTCAAAAAAACTTTTATATGAGTTAATCAAGACAAAATAGTTTTTACAATAGTGATTCATAGTTAATTAAGATTATAAGATAGTTCTATTTTTGAAACCTATTCATCTTTATATATGTATTGGAGATGCTAGATCTTCAGAACTCATTTGATTAATGTTTTATTTTGGAAATTCGAATTTCTTGTTTTCGCTCCAAAAGCACCCATTTTCACTTTTATGTCGTACTTCCCATTTGGTAAGTATTTAGTAAGTAGAGTAAATCCATAACTAATTTTAACCTGCTTTTAGATTATTAATAAGCTTATCATAACATCTAAAAATCTTCCTAACGCCTCAAAAAAAGTCACCACAATGTGAATACTATCAAAAGACTGTAAAGGAAATATTTAACCTCTCTATCTAATTTATCCAAAATTCTTTTCAAGTCACGCAATATGAAATAATCATATTAAAACTCTATGTATCCTCTGAAGAAAATCATCAGATAACCCTCTTATATAATTACCTTTGTTCATTTAAAACAAAAATACATCAAAGGTCAGTTGTTACAAAAGTACCAATTCTATATATATATATATATATATATATATATATATATATATATATATATATATATATATATATATATATATATATATATATATATATATATATATATATATATATATATATTTATATTCTTGAATACATCCATTATCATTATGATTTATCAACTATTAATTTTATCATCATTAGTTAGTATTCTAAGTAAGTATAATTTCATATTGTGATGTTTTTACTTTAATGAAGCTTCATCAGCCATCAAAGAATATAACAGTTATGAAAGTGAATTCAATGTAAGCGTAATACTTTATTATAATATACATTCTTATCCATATTTATATTTGAATAAAGTGAGAATAACAAAATTTAAAGAATAAAATGAATTTATTATTCAATTTCAAGTCTTTTTATAAGTTGCAAAAAGTATAAAATTACAAACAGTAACATAATCATAAAAAAAAGCTTAACACGCTTCGGATAATGAAGTTTCAATGATTATTCATCATGCAACCGAATGATATAATACAAAAGCATATGATTAAACATGGTTTAGATTGGCACGTATTTATATTTTCAATAGTTGAGATTATGAGTCAATTGAAGCTAGACCACCATGAATAACCTGGAAACACTGAACGGCCGTTTCGTCCTATTGTGGGACTCCTTAACAGTGCTCATCCATGATCCCACCTCGCGAGACTCGAACCTAAGACCTGTTGGTCTCGAACGCTTAATCTCTAGACCATTGAGCCGCATTTATATGTTGAAAAATGGTAGTACAGATTAAAGGTAATGTCATAGTTACTGAACAACATAAGGAGATGTACAATTTCATAATCATACTGGCTATTTTTTTTTAATGAGTGATCGATTAGACAGTTTACTCTATTATATTAATATTCGAATTTTATTACTCATATTTAAAAACAACCTTTTATCATTAATTTACTGTTGTCTAACAATCTTTTCATTTAAAATGCTTAGTCCTTCAGTCACATTTGTTAATATTGTGTAAAGTTAGAATAAATAAACGGTTCATAACTGTATTATTTATGATGGGACTAATTTGTTCTACCACAGAATATATTTCAAATCACATCGTCTAATGTTATTAGCTGCCGTCTCTCAACCGTTTAAACTGTAATCTTAATCAGATGAACTGAAGAAATTTGTTTGTCAGTCAATGACTTCACAATGAGTTTTAATTATATTCCGACTACTTACATGCTTTTTCAAACTCTTTTTTCTATAATCAGTATTGTTATCAAAACATGGGTAACAAGTGATCCATAAGTGTCAGCTTACAAGGATTTGGAACCGAATCTCCTACATTTCCTTATATATGTATACTATTCAATGAACGGGTTTATTACATTCAGGCAAAACTACATAATACTATTTACATGCAAAGATGGATAGTGGCTAGTAGTGGAATTCAGGACACGCGTCTCGTCCTAATATGGACCCGTCAACTAGATATACCTGCATCCCAAAGTTGATGTTCACTACGGGACTCGGACCCAGTACCGTTAACTTCAAACTCCATCACATTATTCACTTAGCTACTGAGTCCTAATAGCCATTAGTTTGTGCAACGGGGTGGAGTTTAAACTCAATTTGTATTGTTTGTTTGGGAAGATACAAACAAACAATACAAAATTAGTTTAATAGTATTTACATTTGTCATTAATCATTTACAATGAAAATAATGAAGCTTAGTGTTATTCAAGATGAATGTATAGATTAAACACATTAATAAACTCATATAATGTGTTATGCTCATTTCTGTGTCCTGCTAAATGATCAACTTAACTATTTTAGAGAAAAATAAAACTAATTTATAGAAATCCAGTTGTAATAAATATAACACTAGTATTTATAACTCCCTTTAAATTGTCTCTAACTGTGAAACCAACTTACATACTTACTTACTTACTTACTTACGTCTGTTATCCCACGTGAAGAAGCATAGGCCGCCCACCAATCCTAATTGTGAAACCAAGTCATAAGTATTGTTCTATCTTTTTATTTGTTTTAGAATATACGATTCGACCAACTTCAACATATATATCATCATTTTATCTTAAATCAAAATCCAGCTAATCCTTGTAAGTTTGTTTTCCATCAAAGCAATAACCTATTTTTCCTATTATCTACATGAACTTTCTTTCTCTCTCTCTCTCTCTCTCTGTCTCTCTCCCTGATACCCACTCCTTTCTTTATTTCAGCATGTTTCGGTTGTAAATCTGGATTATGGATGGCTAAAACATTTGTCTTTGGTAGTAAACAATTTGTACATGATCATATTGAAGCGACTTGTACAAATTTAAAAAATATTTATCAACCTGTAAGAAATACAAAATATGATTTATTCTAATGAATCATTATATTTCTTTTTGCTTAAAGCGATCCGAGCTATTCATAGCAGTTTGTTATGGTCATATCTAGCATAGTTTATGTTGAGATACAGGATGAAAAACATATATATGGTAAAAGAAAATTACACTCCACTATAAAACTTAATGGTTTGAATTTTTTTTCTGGTTAGCTCTTTTTAGCGAGTTAGTGTTCTACAGGATGAGGTCGCTAACCCCATGCCCAACCCTCTTCCTTTATCCGGGCTTGGGACCGGCAGTAGCCCCCGGAGGGAACATAAACACATTTTGAGTAAACTTTGATCGTTTTATTTATTTATTTAAACATATTAATATTGGTACAGAGAGGAACTGAATGCATATGTGCCACACAAGTCACTTGATTAGTGTGTAGGCTATGATACTGCCCGATTGCCCAAACCGAAGCATGTGGTTTTCTTAGGGTGTCCACACCCACAGCCTTCGACCTAAAGGTTTAATCCACAAGGCTGTGGAACAACGTCAAGAGATGCAGTCCAATCGTAGCCAGTGACCAATAATTGGTTCATAAGTCGTTTTTTGCTCAAGATCGTGGAGCCATTGTGCACCATTGGTTTGGAATCAAGATCCTCCATATCCACCAAACCGAGTAATGTGCCGGACAGTTGCTTCTCCTCCTCTCAGTTCCGCAAACAATAGTAATGCTGAGAGAAAGCAGTGAGTAAGACTTCCCTGGTAGTGGTTGTATGCGCACGGCCATGTGAGAGTAGTTTGAGAGGGAGAGCTGACTCTCCCTACCCCCTGCAGTACCAGGGCATTTGGGGGCAGTACTACATTCTATGCCATCAAAAGTGATGATAGTTCAAATTAAATTCCGTTTACAAATAAAATAAATATTTGATGGTTTTTGTTGTAATATCTCACTGTTTCATGTGATCAACATGCATTTCTTGGACAACAATTTCCATCAAGAACTGGACATTAGCTGAGGTGTCATTAAAATTCATGATATAAAAAGTGAAAATTACCTTCTAGTTTTCTACTGCCACCACTACCATTACTACTCCTAGTGCATTGGAAACAAGTATCCACCATTTAACACCAAAAGTTTCTCGGGATTAAGAGTATGTATAGCAAAACTAGAGCAAAAGAGCTGTCCAACATTCGGTAACTTTTAATAATCTCAAATCAATTTAGTGATGAAAATTAACTTCATACACTAAATTCTAATAAGATCCATCATGTAACTTTTTAAAAACAACAGAGATTTTTTAAAACTTAAGTTTACTGTGTTTAAGAATACTTGTCATAAATTTTCTACAATATTCCACTTAATAACTACAATAGTCACATTAGGAAAGTAGTCGATTTTCTTTGATAAAATGAACACTATTCCATTTAAAAACTACACTATTCTGTTTTTTTAAAAACTGATGACTCTCTTCTTGGACTATATATTTTTTCTAGTGTAAAAGAATATTAACTGAATTTCTGGATTACGCTTATGATTTGATATATGCTTACAGTTCAACTGATCTATGTGCAGTAAGTTGTCGTAAAAAAACGATAGTAATAATTTATTTTTATGAATAATTTCCATAGTCAGTATAAAGAGTTTACAGAAATGACGACTGTCATTATGTGGTGTTGACTATAAAACTCGAAAATCTCCGTAAACGCTTTATACCAATATAAGTATTTTTCTCATTAGTGATTGACTTTGAGAGGTAAATCCCGGAGTTCCAGTAAGGAGTAATATCGAATGCAGTTTAATCATATTGAGTCTAAGCCAGATGCCCATCAATAACATTGGGAGACGGTTGCGTATTCTCGTAGATTGATTGAATCAAAATATATAAACCATTGGAGACAGGCTCAGAGGACTAATGCCTAAGCGCCCGTTATGAGACCTGAAGATCCTAGGGCCAGTCGCTGGTAGGTTGTGGAAGATCACTTCTGAGAGCTCTCACTCTAGAATAAAGCAGTTGCTTTTTCATGGTTGTCTAACTAAAGTAAGATAGTAGTGTGAAATGAGATCAAATAGTGAAATATTGTGTTTGATGATTGAATACGGTAGATAAGATACCCCATCGTTAAAGCATTAAATAGTAATGTAATACCGCAGAAAATATGAATGTAACCACAAGGGAAAGACTTCAGCAATTCAATAAATTTACAGACTGTATTCGTCAAAGAATAATCCCAATTGAGATACGATCGAAAACCGTGGACCTTTGAGAAATTATTTTTGTCCAAGTACAGGACATTTAAGCAGTGCTCACTTGTGTTTCCTCATTGTATCATCGTCACAATGAATCTCAAATCGACCAAAGTTGGATATATACCAGTGAACATTTATCTGTTCCTTCTAATGCATTAGCGTTAACCATAAGACCTGAAGGTTTTAAGTCCGATCCGAGGGGAATTCGTAGGTGCATATCACTGAGGAATCCTATACTAGAATAAAATAGCTGTGCAATGCTCCTAGATTTTCTGTTGCAAACCAACTGAGATCAATATTTAACGAAAGTAACCTACAAAACAAATCACTATCCACCGAATCCCTATAAATGACTCAATCAATTCGTTATACATTTTCTCATTTATATATAGCCCCATCAGTCTGACTCTTCCAAAGTGAAAGAAAGTGACTAAAAGATATATCCGGCCGAAAAAACTGATCATTTTGTTTTTTTTCCCAAAACCTAATTCTATCCAAACTTTCCTCTACTGTCTTGCTTCATAGTGTAATCATAGTTAATTTGATTAGATTAATGCCTCTGTAATTTATTACTGTTTCATTACAAAAATTTATCGTTACTTTGTATAATTTTTGTTTTGTTTTATCAATCTATAGCTTGCTGGAATATGTGAAAATCCACCGATAATTGACTGTGAGAACATTTTACTTGTGATTTAGTATGGTTTTCATAACCCTTTTTCTTATTAATTGACAATCTCTTAAAAAGTACCATTGACTATTGAATTATTTTTTTTAATAGTTGAGGTCATGAGTCAATTGAAGATAGACCACCATGGAAAACCTGGAAGAACTGGACGGACGTTTCGCTCTATTGTGGAACTCCTCGAATCTCACGAGGCGGGACCATGAATAAGCACTGCAAAGGATTCCCACAATAGGACGAAACGTTATGATATTGGTTGCGATGCAATGATTGAATAATGAATTTGACCCATTCGATTTTATAAATTAATCTATACCGATGATGATGAGTATACTTAGTCTTATACTGTTTTTTATCGTTTCATCTCATTGCTTAGTCTCTAATCAGAATGCTAGAAGGCCAGATAAATGCTCATGAGCATTATATATTCTTTATATTTCCCAACTCAAGTGATTACATACGTTAAATAAATGGCTACAATACATCGAAATAAGTGCACAACCATGGGTATTTTTAACTGAACTACATATTTAAAACTAATTAGCTATAATTTATGTGTACAGTATAAGATAATAACAACAGTTATTGAATGGAATGAAAACTTACAGTAAAGGTTATATAAAATCACCTGGATCGATTGAATACACATGAAAAATATGCAATTTGTAAACCACACTACTTTATTTGTTTTTGTTAGTAGTATACAAAGTATGTACACCTGATTTTTTTAATGATTGATCATGTTTTCTCTTTACATTAGAAGCAACTTAAAATTAATCTATGAAATAAATGAACTCACATTATACTGTCACGTTTATTATTATTTTTCCATTCAAATTAACAGAAAAAAGAAAGGAATTGTGTTGAAAAATATACAAACTGATTCCCTTGTTAAAGATGAATAGTGGCTAACAGTGGAATCCGGGACACGCGTTTCGTCTTATTTGGGACTAGTCAGGTACATCCAACTGACGAGTCCCAAATAGGACGAAACGCGCTAGGATGCCGTTAAGTCCAGCTAGTGGGTCTCGAAGAGGACGAAACGCGCGTCCTGGATTCCGCCGCTAGCCACCATCCATCTTTGTTTACAATAGTCATCAAATTTGTAAACACTTTTTATACTTTGAATTATATATACACTCGAAATTCTACTTATTTATTTATCCAAATTGCTTTTTTTTCAATCAGTTTGCCCACTTTGTTTAATGAGTGTAGCGGAAGGCAAAAATATTTTATTATCCGATGCTCTTCTAAATGAATTACAATCTGTATTTGTACATGTATGTGATTATGTAAGATTGGAAGTACAAGTAAGTAATGTATGTATTAGTTTAAATTATGAGTTTTAGTTCTAATTTCATTTTATGTCTATACAATAATGACGACATAAATTTCATTCAAGGTTATTTTTTGTTATAGATTGAGTATATTCCCAATACTTGTGTCGTACTCGGAACTTTTTACCATTTTTCCGTTCATCTATTTGATAAATGCTGTATATTTTGGAATAATTTTCAGAAAAGATATCATTTTGATAAGTTGAGGTTATCAGCGACCATCTACTACATACCTATCCAGTGTAAAACAGCCTAACATGTCTTCAGTTTACAGTAGTAAGAATAAGAGATCAATCGAACCATAATAATCCTTGCAATTTTCAGTACTGTGAAGATCCAATTTCACTTTCAATATATCAGTATAAGATTATGATATTGCATGTTCTGGTAGAGAATCTAGTTGTCCACTACTTGATAGTGTCGGATAAAAATGACTAAATATGATTAAGTAATTTTTCATATAAATTCCACTCTAAATATCCATGATTCAGCTACTAAATGAATGAAAAAGAAAGACCGAAAGTTTTGAGTGTGATGAATTAAATTAGTGATGTGGATAACCCCAGTCATAACACGTTTTTTGATGTTCTATCAAGTATTATATGTATTCTGAAAATAATAATTACAGAATTCACGCCAGTTTACAGGCATGGTCAGCTTGATATAAATAGTAATAGTAAATGTAGAAGACAAACATGTGATATAAGATTGTTTCAGGTTACTAGTTCAAGAATTGTTTAGGTAGTACATTTGTGATATGTATTACAACAATGTAATGCACCGGCCGAGATTTTTTAATTCCTCTTAAGTGAACATTTTGTTGATTTATGAACTGTGCATTTAAGGTCATTTCCTATGCCATAAGGGATTAATTATCACCATCTACAATTAGAGAAAGTAAAACGGAAAGGGAGAGCATGGAATAACAAAGCAATAATTACTAAAATATGTCAGTCAGGTCTGCCATAATGCATATGTCATATGACTCAATAATATATTGTTCATGTTAGATATTATTCAAATAAGTTAGGGTTTCCAGAGACGCTGTTAACGTAAAGTAACAGCAGGTAGATGGTTTTAATTAATGAATTCAATAATAAGAATAGCTAAACATTGAAAGTTCTTATAATCTCACTTGTGGAATAAGATACACTTACAGGTGCTAGAACATTTAATGGATATTCAGTGGAGCAGTATGCATCAATGCAGCAAACAAAGGATGAGAGTGATTTTATCTTACGAATAGATTGTGATAGATTATTCCAGAGTCTGGAAAATTTACAGGTAATGTAAAATATATAGAAAGATGACTTAGAATCAGTCTGTTTCACTATTGACAAGGAGTTACGGATGTTGTAATTAGAATTTTGTGCAAATTGAGTTACTTGACCGGATGCAAAGGATAGTTTATTAAGTATTTTGAAGAAAAAGATTAGATGTAATCACAATTGACTGATCACTGGGTTGTGATCAATGTCATGTGTGTCAAGTCCTTATTAGATTAGATTTAATTTGAGTCTCTTCTTTCATACAGGGTCGAGCTCAAATTTATTATATCTGGAATTATAATTCAAGTTAAAATCAGTTCCAAGATATAATTACACACAAATAATTGACAAATTATATATTTCACAAAAGCTACATAAAATAAGAAACTGATGGACTATATAAACTATGGTTAATTTTAAAATCTAGATTCTAAATTAATTTAAACCGGATAGATAAAATGTTAAAACGCTCGGTTTCACTTCGTCTAATGTTATAACAGTTGGGTTTCCACGTTTACACATACGGGACGTTAATTTACCTTAGACTAATATCTACACTAGATTTCCTTCCAGTGTCTATTCTACAGGACGTCAACAAAACTCAGATCAAGAACACGTGATTAGCCTGACCACAACGTAAATATATTTCCACACCAAAACCCGACACAATCCAACAACAATAAACAATCATTAATAAATGAGTAATAATAATAAGGATAGGGGAATATATAACTCATCTGACACCTGTCAGACTATCTGAATGTCTGACTAATCAGACAACCAATCATTATCATTCTTGTCCACACATCATAAAAGTTGTGAATTTCTTTCTTGTACGACAATCAATCGCTGTTCAACATAAATGCATTAATTTCGTTATTTGGAATAAAAATAATGTTCAGATAAAATAAGTTGAAAAACTGTGACCAGTGGAGTCCAATCCATGTCTAGCGGAGACAGTTATCCCCCTCAGACAATAAATGAAGGATTGTGAACGATCATTTTTCAATTGCAGTTAGACATTAACACCGATCGATACCGGTTCAGTGATCTAAAGGTTAGGCGTTGGCGTATGAAACTGAAGGCCCTAGGTTCGAGTCTCCAGTGTGGGATCGTAGATCCGCTCTGCTGACGAGTCCCATACGAGGACGAAATGGCTATCCAGTGCTTTTAGGTTTTGATTAGTGGTCTAGCTTATGAATTCAACTATTAACATAAAATAAGTTGAATATTAGTGAAAATCAGAATGTGCCTCATGAAACGTTATAATTAAATGCGATACTTATTGAAACTTATTAGCATTCTCTGTTAGTCCAATTCAAACCACGTCACATAATGAAATCCTACTGTATCAAATGTTAACCGAATTTTTCATTTTTAGTCATATCCACGAATAAAACAAAGTGACTGAGTACATTTATCAGGTTATTCATAGTCTGGATCATTTAGTGGTAATATCTTTGACAGTAATACTGATTGATACGAGTTCAAAACCAACGAGAGAGATCGTAATTCTCCCCCCTTCCCACCAAGATTGCACATATGCCTTGCTGATAACTAGCAATACATTCAAAGAAACCAACACATAACCTTATTAAATATATTTTTTGTTGTATCTGAATGAGTAGAAAAATTGTATTTCTGAGGTTTCCTGACTTAATGTAAACCACTTCTTCAGAGTAAATAAATAATCGAATTGAATTAACATAAGTTTAAATATTACAAGGGAAACTATGAAGAATATTTTTGATATAATCAAAATCATAATAGGTCTGAATATGTCCATTTTAAGTTAAATTTGTATGACCTATCACTGTATTAATTTGTGAGTCAGAATGTGGGTATGAAAAGTGTGAAAAATGTATGCATACGTAATGTGAAGTAGTGGGATTGAAATTAAGTGCATGTGTGGAAAATAAATAAGGTCAAATATGAAAAATTCACTTGATATTCTTTACTTGATCAGTCTCATAATGGCATATGTGCACACTGTGCACGCTTCGGCTACTCGCCTCTGTAGTTGGAAAAGCCTTATATTAAGGTTATGTACTCACGCGCGAGACTGATATGTCCTGGATTCGAATCCCGCGAGACGGGATTGTGGATGCGCACTGATGAGGAGTCTGACGATTGGACGAAACGGCCATCCAATGCTTCCAGGTTTTCCATGATGGTCGACTGATGATCTCAACTGTTGAAATTACTACAATCTCCACAAAACCCCTTCTGATATATTGAAGTACTGTATTTTATTTATTTTATAGTGTTCCACATTTTTAAATGTACTTTATGAAAATGTTGTCGATATAATCAAACATGTTGTAGAACCACATTTCATTTGTCAGGTAAATACTTAATTTAAATATTAATTATTTACAAATACATTTGATATAGGTATATAAATGAAAATTTTTGAGAGAAAATTGAATGAGACTAAAATCTATTGACGAACCAATCACATATAAGATAACAGGTCTCGGATTTCGGCGCGAAATTCATTCATCCGTTTGGCTAAATAGAGTTTTGGCATTAAAGCTGATGTCAGTTGGTGATCAAAACCCTAAATCTAATTCTTAACCCTAACCATCAACCGTAAATCCTAATTCAAATTCCTCATACCGGTTTATAACCCTCATTTAGTCCTAGTTATTAGGTAGACACTCTCATGGTCAGTTTTGAGTAGCTTGAATGTCGTCCATAAATTATACTCTCACCGAAAATTTGTATCCAATACAGTTTGAATAAGGTATTGTAAAAGTAGGAGGGAAAGTCGATATTATTTAAACAAAAACAAAAATCTCACATTGTTAATGGAAACAGTTTGAATTATCCTGTTGTTGATAAGTTGGATTGAATATTGATCAGTTTCATTTGGACTTGGGGCATTTTCTTGACATAATTAGTTTGTCACAAGTAGCTCAACGAATAAGATACTGGGTTTCACTCTCCCTCTATCAACATCTACACGGTAGTACAAGTATACGTACCAAACAAGTCTTAAATAAGACAAAATGCTTGCCCTACATTTCACTGCTGGTCACAGTATTAAACCTTAGTCTTATAAGAGAAATGATATGCACGATGACGAGTTAGAATAAAAGAGTCGCTGGCGTTAACTGCTAATCATTATCCAGTATAATTATCTTGATTTTAACATGACAGAATTTGTGCGTTTTTTTTATTAATGAAATCACTGATATCTATTCAGTATGATTTCTGAATCACAGTTGTTTATTAGCCAGTGATGTAATATTGTAACCCAATAAATTTTTTTAGTCTTCTTAGGGGTTGATTACACTTTAACGAGTTATAGATTCAATTAAAAGTTAACAGGTTTCTGATGTAAACATTTACAGTATATGAAACTGTGAATACAACTAAATAGGAGTACATCATCAGATCATTATCTTTACTCTTAGTGATTATTAGGCTGAATAATATCATACTATTCTTAAATTTTTATCAGATCATTTATCATATATTGAATTTCATTGAATTGGATTTGAGATTTCATAACTAAATATCACCCATTTGTAAGAGCTTTGTACTTTTATCGCTTTGGTCAATTTTTGCTAACATATGGACTTCATACATCAGTTTTTTATCATTTCAGTATTTGAAGGGTTTTGTGGAGATTGTCAATTGAAGCTAGATCGCCATGAAAAACCTGAAAGCACTGGACGGCCGTTTCGTCCTGCTGATGAGTTCCACAATAGGACGAAATAGCCGTCCAGTGCTTCTAGGTTTTCCATGGTGGTCTATCTTCAATTCACTCGAAATCTCAACCACTGAAATTTCAGTATTTACAAAATCATTATATTCTGAGTAAATAACTAACAGTGGAATCCAGATGTCCAGATGCTTAGATATCATCGATGTCTGGTCGAATTCACTATGAGTTATCAACAATGGAAAAATGTAATTCCTTATAATTAAAAGTAAAAAAAAATTCCACAAATGTTGGATAATTTGATGCGTATTGTAATCACGTATTTTGAAGAGACAAAAGAATACTTTTAGGACCGAGTCTTAATGTAAACATTAACTCTATGCTATAGATATATTCAGCTAACAAGCTAAAAAGTAAATGAGACGTACCTTCAGAATTCTTCTGCTAGCTACTGTCACATAACATAATGTATCAACTAGGTATTATGAACACATATTAGATGGAATTATGTTTAAAATGGTTGTACTGAACCATGAGAATTAACTTTGGAATGTTTACAAATAGCTAAAAGTCATTCAGTAATAAGCAACCTAGAGAGAAATTGTCAAGGTGAATAACAGAGTAATATTAGCATCCATGGTAGTTAAAAGATAAGGAGTACAGAACATAACTCAAGAAAAATGAATGAAGTGGTAAGATAAATAGTATAACATAAATTTAAAATACAGGATCGAGGGAAACAGAAAGAGTGAATGCATCTGCACCTTGCAAATGGCTGTGAAACAATTTCACGTATCGACTTCAACTTCTAATTATGATTTTAGTACAAATTTCCAACTAATAACATGGTTCAGACGAATAGTCAGTGAGTTCATAGACTGATGTTGTACCTTAGTTTGGCGGCCTCTAGCTTTCTTTAAACTTACTATTGTGCTAGTTAATATCTGGCTGTTAGCGGGACATAGATTGGATTAAATCATGCTCATTGCACGCTTGCTTTGACGCACGCTGATTGGCTAATTCTTATCCAATCAGCGCTAGCCGATGCTTGGAGAATACTCTGGAATCTTCTCATGTAAAAACCATAAATATACTAACAGTTTTCATATTATGCTTCTTTCTTCCATCTAACCTTGTTATTTGGAATACAATCTCTTTCCTGTTCAACCGTGTTCTGATTTGGGGACGTGTCGAGCGAATTGGTGTCCGAGAATACTAAGCAATAGGAATAGCTGGGTTATAACAGTAAGAGAGAGAATTATAACAGTGGCGATGGGGAAAAAGGAAAACGAATTCAAGATGCCCATATCAGATGACCAGCTTAATCGAATACTACAACAACAGCAAGCACAATTAGATGCACAAATGCGGTTGTTAGGGTCTCTGACTCAACAACTCAACTTCCACTGCTCGAGTTCACATGCTATTCCAGGTACGTCTTGTGATGCAGTTGCTAGCAGCATACCAGAATTCATCTGTGATACCGAAAGTGGAAGTACTTTTCTCACGTGGTTCAAACGTTGGGAAGATACATTTGGAATAGAATTCTGTAACAAAGACGACGCGTGGAAGACTCGATTGTTGGTACGTAAGTTGGGAAGCAATGAACGTGCACGTTATGCTGACCATATATTGCCAAAGTTACGTCGAGAGCTCAGTTTCGAGGAGACAGTAATTCAATTGTCAGAGATATTCGATGAATCACCCTCATTGTTTAGTATTCGATATCAGTGTCTAAATTTGGTGAGACGCGAAGCCGATGAATACGGTGTTCTACCAGACATCGTCAACAGAGAATGTGAACGGTTCAAGTTACGCTCGTTGACAGAAGACCAATTTAAATGCCTAATATTCATCAAAGCTCTTCAGTCACCACAAGATGCTGAGATCAGGACTAGACTTTTGGCTCGATCAAGACCCAAACGTCACACTCAGAACGTTGACAGATGAGTGTAAGCGGCTACAAAGCATCAGACACGACAACGAGTTGATTGAACAGGCAAATCCTAATTGTCATACATGACACTTATATTTCACCTCAGTCTTTGAAGATTCACAATATCACCAGCCAATCTGCCATCTTTGTCAAGTATCCTAATAGTTGGTGTTTTTTTTTCGCTGTTCGAGTAATTGATTTCAAGAAAACGCGGTCGTTGTTTTGATTCAAACAGGAAGTTTTATTTTCAAAAGATAATCTAGCACTTCTCTAATAATTCTTTATCCAGTAGTTTAAAAGAATTGATATGAATAAAGTTGAAAAAAATAAACCCCTTACAGGCAACCTACAAGTTCTAAATAGGACGAAATGGTCTTCCTGGATTCTACTTCTAGTCATATACTTAATGAAAAAAGTTTATGAAATAATGGCAAATCGACTCAATCGGCTTAACAAAAACATATGTCCTCAAAAAGTAACCAATTTTTGTTCTAAATATCGGCATTGGGAAAATTACAAACTCTTATCAATAATTTTATGGTTGAATTCATGAGTCCATCTAAGCTAGATCACCATTGGAAATCCTGGAAGCACTGGATGGATGTTCCGTTCTAATATGGAACTTCTCGGCGGTTCACATCCATGATCCTGCGTACGGGACTCAAAGTCAGGACCTTCGGTTTCACACATAAACGCTTAATTTCTAGACCACTGAGCTGGCGTCCAACGGTGTTAACATCTAAATTCAACGATGTTGCATGACCATCTCGTGAGAGAGACAGAATGTCCTGGATTCGAAATCATGGGTACGCACTGCTGAAGAGTCCCAGTGATTTGTGTTTTTGCATAGTGGTTTAACTTCAATCGACTCATGAAATCAACTATAAAATTACTAGACTTTCCACAAAACCCCCCTCTTATTAATAACTTTGGTTTTCGTCTAAAAATTTTATTTAACCTGTGAAAGTTATCTATCCTATATAGTCTAATTATTCTTTTATTTATTATATTATTTTTAGCTGGGTCACATGTGTAATACAACATATACAGAAGGATCGGATTACATTAGAATTGCATAAGAAGAACACTTTTTTCATTGGTAAACAGAATGTATTTTTATTACAATTTTAGAATCATCACACGAAAATAAATCATAAAAATTATGGATTATTTAGAGTATCCATTGTTTTGTAAATAACTGACGATCAAATCATTATCTAAAGCGATATTATTCATTTTATAGATCCTTAAATCTCTTCAAGTCAATATAGAATAAGCAGTCCTTGTAATCGGCACATTATTACTTAGATATAAACATCTACAGACAATAATGCCTAGTTGACAAAAAATCTCTGTTGAAATATGATAGACTATATAGATGTTTTAACATTACAGGAAATCATTTTCGGCATTAATTGTCCACTGGTAACTTACCGATTTCTACATAGCGTGATAAGACATCAAAGATACCAAAGGGAAATTGGTTCACTCAGAATTCTAGGAAAATTTTACTGATGAATGCTTGCATTCAGAAAACTTAGAGCAGTCAGTGCCTATAGATTCTTTAGAACAAACTAACAACAAACGGCGTACATACATACACAAATGCTAACAATCTATATTTCATAAAACATAAAACATGTGTAAATGTACACGTGTATTTAACTTAACCAGCATTTGTTTATCTAATATGAAAACTACTTCACTAGCTAAACACGTTAACGGCTAACCTTTAACTTCAATACATCCTGAATGTGTTCAATTTATTTGTGACTATTGTTTCATGATAAATTAAACTTAAAGATTGCATAAATCTGATAAGCAAAATCAGAAGTTAAATAAACAATCTTAGGTTTTTAACAGTAAGAGAATTTCTGGAAATTGTAGTATTTTAACAGTTGAATTCATGAGTCAATCTAAGCTAGACCATGATGGAAAATCTGGAAGTACTAGACAGTCGTTTCGTCCTAATATGGAAATTCTCAGCAGTTCGCATCCACTACCCTGCATGCGGGACTCAGAGCCAGGACCTTTGGTTTCACACACAAACGCTTAATTTCTAGACCACTGATCTGGCATCCAACGGTGTTAACATCTAACTTCAATCAATCCACGATGTCGCACAATCATCTCGTGAGAGAGACAGAATGTCCTGGATTAGAGTCTCTTTGACGCGGGATCATGAATGTGAACTCTTGAGGAGTCTCACACTGGGACAAAACGGACTCCCGGTGGTTCAAGACTTTAACGGTGGTCCAGCTTAGATCGACTTATGAATTCAACTATTAAAAATCCTAAGTTTTCACTGAAACTTATCAGCTGACTTATTTAACATAATCAAATATGGATTGATATGATGTTAAATCTTGACTTATGATAGAAAATCAATTCATATACAATCATTTTTGAGATGTATAAACTACTAGGTGACAATGTGTTTTACAGAATATAGAAAATTACTAGGGTATATGATTTACCTTTCTTTAAGGACCACGCTATAAATACAGAACCCATCCTAGATGAAACCCCGAATATCATGAGAACTGTTTCAACTGATATATGTCAGTAAGAACCAAGAAGCCAGGTGTAATGATCAAATCGTTATGTCTTTAATATGATAATCAATAAATTGTAAACGAAACCCTCTGCAAGAAGTGAAAATACTAGGTAAGGAGAGATCTGAACAAACCACTCAATGATTCAGAGCGGAATATCTACTTCAAGGAAGAAGGAATGTGTTTATTTGTGTTTAAAATTATAATAACTAAGATCTGTTTAATTTCATCCCTCTGAATAAAAACGATAAACTATATCAGAATCAAAACACAGATTACCAAGAGGATAACACTATAACCTACCCCCAAAATTATTTACAATGTTATCACTTTTCAAATATCCCAAGTTTCAATTGACGAACTTATATGAACAACGAAGCCTTTTAATTACAAATATACAAATATGAAACCTAAGTACAAAATAATAAAAGAGAGATTTATTTTTAAGAAGTCGCCAAAGACTACTCGTATTTCAGCATAAATCAAAAGTTTGAGCTTCACATAAGTATTTTGAGAAATCATTTATTTATAGGCAATCAAATACAAATAATAAGTTAGAATTTAGATGGTAGAATCCAAGATGCGCGTTTCGTTCTATTTGGGACTCGTCAGCTGAATTTACCTTCGCACATATTGCATATATCCCAATAAGAGACAGATCAATTACAGTCCTAACCATCAATGGGAAAAGAATTTTCCGTACAGTGTTTAACTACTAATAAGTAGACAAATGTTTATCACATGAATCACTGAATAATATCCAATATATAATAATTCCATCCCAGCTTGGTTATACACCTAATAAACACGTGAACATTGTTACCAATGCTATTGACGAAACTGTAAGATAACTTTCAGAAAATTCATGATTTGTTGACAGACTCATTATTTAGATATCCCATTGAGGTAAAAACATTTTTGCAAGTGAGTTAAGCTTTTCGGTGTGGTCTGTGATGATTGCAAAATAATCCAAGTCAAGGACTATTGATCATCTAATGTGTCACTGTAAACGCCGAACAAGTGACGTCCCTAATCAATTCCACTCAATGTCTCAGATTCTGTATTACTAGTGATGATGTAGAGTAGGTTGAATCATCTGTCCATAGTATTCTAGCAAGAGAAATTTAAAAGTGTTTCTTTGGGGTTTAACCACTGATGTTTTCCATAGGTCAGTTGAACAATAAAAACAAAGATACGAAAAGTATGCTGACGAAAAGTTGAGTTTTTTTCTAGGGAAATGAATATGACGTAACTTAAACTTTGTCAAATAAATTTTGTCTGACTGTATTGTTTTTTATAATGATTTGATTAATTGCATATCGGTTCTAATCGAAATTAAACATACATCAATAAACAGAAGACTAAATAATTTTTGTCCTTTACTAGAGCCCTAGAGTTATTGATTTGCCGAATCGATACCTTTTTTTAATGTTGTAATTGTATTCATTAAAAGTAAAGCTTGTGTAACTGTTTTGTTTATATTTGCCTATATCATCTGAAATGAACACAAACGAACTCATGTATGATTGGATATGAAACTTTCAAGTTTCACACTATGAGTCCTACTTGTTTTTCAATCATTGAACTATCAGTCAAATTGTAGTTTAGACTCATTTTCAATCAATGTTAAATAAATGTTAACCTCCTTAAACAAATTATTCTTTGTAGACTATAACAATATAATTATTATAGATTATGATTGTACTTTCATACTCAAGTTTAACCTTCATAGTTTAACTTAGTTTCATCGAAACCAAATAGTTGGCATTGAAGAAACATTTCTAATCTAAAAATAACTTACTTGAAAGGAGTTATCTTTAGACAATCATCATGAATGATTAATCTCACAAATCTTGTAACTTTGAATGTTATGAAATATTTTATTATTTTTTTGGACCCATAAACATTGGTACAAAGGGGCACCAAATACGTATGCAACACGTAGGTTTCCAAAAGACTACTTCAGTATTCGTAGTCAATGGTAGCACTCAACTTACGACTAATCAGTGATTTGAGATCATTTAGATAGAACAGAGTCTCCACTAAAGGCAAGCTGTTAAGTGACGTAGTATAAAGGAAATAAGAACGAATAATATCATATGATCATGAATAAGATTTGTTTGAGAGAGCGTTGAAACAACGGAACTTTATCCAGTCGTAGTTATTATTGATATGTGTGAGGGAAGTGATACTGCTCGGGTGGTCAAAGTGAAGCAGGTGGTTTTCTTAGGGGGCCACACCCGGAGCCTTTGACCTAGAGGTCTGATCTACAAGGCAGTAGAGTAACGTTAGAAGATGCAGTCTCATGGTAGCAGGTTGCCAACAAAGTGTTCATACGCCATTTATTCCGTCAGGATGCTGGAGTCCATGTACACCAGTGGTTTGTAATCAAGATTTCCCTACTCCCTTAGGTGGACTTCGTTTTTGGATAAATCTTTATCGATTGAACATGGATATAGAAAAAGATAACATTTTTTAAGTTATTCATAATGAAAACTATTCAAACCATAGAAGGTAACCGATTATATGTTATATAGTTCATATTGTAATTTTAAGCTTACACTAGTACCGTTTTGTTAGGAATTGATGACTTTCTATTGAGATCAAATATATTTTTTAATAAAATCGATGAACTCATTGTTAGTACGGTGGGCAATCTACATATACAAAAAATACTACTAATTACCTACGCTCCTCCAGAAGAGGTAACGGGTGTAAGTAAGTAAGTACCTATCATAAGCAAGTTCATTTGGTTATCTTTTTATTGGTACTGGGATGGGTATTTTCTACTAGATTTAATGTAGAGAGATATTATATCAAAAAGATAGTGTATAGTAGAACTTCTTTCCCGTATCACTCGTCAAATTCACTGTGATTAACTTTTCATTTTCTGTTAATATTTTCACTAAAGGCCTTAATTGTTTATGTATATTTCAAGTTTACATAAAAAAGGGGCTAGTTTTCAACAATCTTAATTGAATAAACGTTGAAACATAATAACGTTAGCATTACCAACTCTAAGCTAACAAGTTCACTTTTCCTTGAATAAGCTGATCCTATAAGAAGTAGTGAATTAGCAGCTTCTTTCTTTTTATTTAGTCGATGATATGATTGAAATTTTTAAGCACAGTCAACTTTGTGCTATAATATGGCTTACTATCCATTTTATGCCGATTTCTTTAGAAGATAGATTATTCGGCTGATGAGAAATATCTTAAATTTATCCTAGAACCATATAATTAAATTATTTTACGTCTTAGTTCAACACTTAACCCGTAAGTTTACTGAGGACTGAAATTAGGACTTGCATTTCAGCCTTAATCAATCAGTTATACAAAGCGAACATCGTCTAATGTTATCATTGAAGGTTGTCACTAGTGATCAGACAATCTTTGTTCATTCAGTTGGCAGTGAACAGAAATATACCTTTCGGATAATTTTCGTAACCGAATAAAAACAAGAAAACACTGAAAACTTATTTTGTCCCTATTCATCAGTATTCTTCAACATAAAATGTTAGAAAC